TTAATTGAACTTCAAAATGTCATTTTCCTGGCATGGGCCAAACAATGTTTCCAATAATAACTAGCTTCAAAACTTCCCATAAATTTTTCAATATCTAATTTTTTTTTATCTCAACCGGTGTAAGCATTTCTAGAATATACGCAGAGGGTATTATTTACAAAAACTTCGTTTAAAATAATTTGTTTGTCCCAAGAAAATTTGTCATTTTCCTGGCTACTTTTATTTAGCGGTTTATAAGCAAAATAGATATAGCCAGCAATCAATATCTTATTTTAATAGAATAATTAGATACCCTCCTATATGAACATGTCTTGTTGCATGAATAAAGAACCTATTTTCTGGTTTAAAATATATTTCAAAAAAATTTTCAAGATGAGTAGGTTTTTGTGTTGTCATTTTCCTGGCTTCTTGAAATCATTAATAACATAAACTACATAGATTTAACTGAGTTATTTTAAAAAATCCTGTTGTTTTCTGCAGAATGTAAACGTCTTAGGCCAAAATATTAAATTAAAGTAAAGTTATATGCTATAAAATGGCTATTTTGTCATTATCCTGGTTTATGAATTCCTGGACATAGAAGTGTTTCCAAAAAAATTTTTTAACAGCTAATACTGTAAGGAGGAAAAGCAAATATTAACCTAATACCAAGTTTATGCATGATTAAACTTATCTAATATATCATTTTCCTGGCATTCAAGATTTGGTGAATTTCTATTTTATTTTTTTTCCCCGAGTAAATGTCAATAAACTACATTGCTGTCTCTAAGATATTGTTTTATGGTTGGATGTAATCAAAGTTATTTATTTATTTAAGGATTATTATCTATTATACACAATTTTATTCTGTACATATCAGCAACAAAAAAAATTTTGATTCTTTCTACAGTGGATAAAAATAATTAATTTAAGCAATTTATGGTCCATCTAACATAAAGGCTTAAGTTGAGTTACTTACTATTAACTAAAAATGACTGTTTTTTAAACTTCTAAGCTAATATATCATTTTCCTGGCATTCAAGATTTGATGAATTTCTATTTTATTTTTTTCCCCGAGTAAATGTCAATAAACTACATTGCTGTCTCTAAGATATTAATAAATGTAACTAAAGAAGTATACAAAAAAAATTTTAGATTATTTTGAAGACTCTAAATTTGAAGAAATTTTTTGGTCCGAATCATCATGTTTAAAAAGAATCACCCATATATCTGAAAAAAAATAACCTTATTCTTATTGTCTTACACCAGTCTAGCACTTTAAAGAGATGACTAATAACTAAAAGTTTGTAAGTTTAGTTACAGCCAAGGCACCAAAAAATCATGTTTTAAAATTGAAAAATGATTCTTTTGCTCCCAGGCAAATAACCTAATAAAAAAAATAGTTACTTCTGTTATTTGATTACAAAAACTTTTCAGGGCACCAAAATCCAATTTGAAAAAAAAAAATAATAAATAAATAAAAAACAGGTTAATTTTTTCTAATTTAGGGTAATAAAGTATCATGATATTCAGTGTCAAGTTTTATAAAAAATTTAAAAAAAAAATTAAATAAGTGATTTTGTTTCTTGATGCTACTAACTAAAACTAATAACTAAACGTTTTTAAGTTTAGCTATTGCTAGAATTCCTATAAATAACTTTTGTTAGACATAGAAACAGATTTCAAAAAAGATAGGTTGCTAAATTTATATATATATACATATATAAATATTTTTTCTTTTGGCCCCATGGCAAGTACTTAAATAAAACAAGAGACAATTACTATTATTATTTGATTCAATCTTGCAAATGACTGTCTATATTTTCAACTTGTGCAGAAAGTTCATTATTTTAAATTTTATTTACTAACATATTTAAAGCAGATAAATTGTTAAAATTTATTTTATTTATTTTATTATTATTATTATAATTCTTTTTTTTTCTTGCCTTCTAGCCTGAATAAAACAAGAGACAATTACCCACTCCTCTATTATTCGATTTCAGAACAGAGAATCAAAAAACTTATTAAAAAAATAATGAAAAAACAAAGTTGTTTCAGTTGACGGTTACAGAAATTCATTGTCCTAATTTATTTTTCAAAAAAAATGTTACTTCAAATATAGCACATTAAAGGACTAATAACTAAAATGTTTTTATGCTTGAATATCAAATAAAAAGTTAAAGTTTTTCATCANATATATAGAGAGAGAGAGAGAGAGAGAGAGAGAGAGAGATAAAAATAACCTATTCCTTATTGTCTTACACCAATCTAGCACTTTAAAGAGATAACTATAAGTTTGTAAGTTTAGTCATAGCCAAGGCACCAAAAAATCATGTTTTAAAATGTAAAAAAAAAATGATTCTATTGCTCCCAGCAAATAACCTATTAAAAAAATACAGTTACTTCTGTTATTTGATTTCCAAACGCTTCAGGGCACCAAAATCCAATTTTAAAAATAAAAAAAACAACAAAAAAAAACAGGCTCATAGTTCAGGGTTATAAAGTATCATGATATTCAGTGTCAAGTTTTATAAAAAAAAAATTTAAAAATTAAATAAGTTATTTTTTTTCTTGATGCTTTCCACTGATCTATCAAGTTAAAGAACTAATAACTAAACGTTCTTAAGTTTAGCTATTGCTAGAGTTCCTATAAATAACTTAGTTAGATATAGAAACATAATAACAGATTTTTAAAAAATTAGGTTGCTAAAATTATATATATAAAAAATATATATACAGTGGTGGCCATAAGTGTGGACATTTTTTGAAAGTTTCATGTTTTTCAACTTTGTGTGCTTGTAGAATATATTAATTCTCACTTAAATACAAACGTTTATATATCAAATTGAAGGTAATTTAATGTAGAATTTAATAAAAAATACAGTATTACAATATCTATGTTGCAAAAAAAGTTATGCAACTAATAGTAAGATATATCTCAGATTTGCATTTTTTTTTCTTAGATTTGCATTATCCTACTAAGTATTGATTGTGTAAGTGATGCTTACACAATCAATACTTAGTAGGATAAACCTTATTTTTTAAGACAGCTTCACAGCGTCTTTTCATCGAGTGAACGAGTGTTTGGAGTTCATCTTTCGTAATCACATGGTGCCAAGAATCAATTATAGCTTCAATAAGTTGTTTTTTATTGGATAGACGTTTTTTTCGTACAAGAATTTTCAAACGTTGCCACAAATTTTCAATTGGATTCAGATCAGGGCTGTTTCCTGACCATGGTAATATGCCTTTATATTCTGAAACTATGCTTTGCATACTTTTGTGCTGTGTGTCATGGAGCTAAATCCTGTTGAAAAATAAATGGTGCGTTGTTGGGGGAAGAGATCCCTGATGGAAGTTATCAATGTTGGTTTCAGGACAGTTTCGATGTATTTTTTGGCAGTCAGGATGCCATCAATCACTTGAATTCGACCCACACCATCTGCAGACACACATGCCCTAATCATGACATTTGTTGGGTTTTTTGTAGTTGCTTCAATGCAATCAGGATAAAGTGCTTCACCTACTCTACGTCTCACGTATTTTCTAACATCACTACCAAAGAGCGATATTTTACTAAGATCACTCCAGATTACTGGCTTCCATTGATTTTCTGACCATTTAATGTGTTCTTTTGCCCACTTACCTCGTTTTTTGCGTTGCNTAAATATGGTTTTTTCCTTGGAATTCTAGCTTGTAGTCCAAATCCTGATAACCTTTTTCTTATTGTTCTTGAACTTACTGCAATACCGTATTCATTTCACATCTAATGGCATCTGATGAAATTTTTTCTATCTTGAAGGCATAGCCGTTAAATTTTTCTATCGGCAGTAGCACATGTGCATTTTTTTCGGCCTGATTTGGCTTTTTTTCCCCACTGATTTCGTTTTTTCATGACGTAAACAGAACTTTCGTACACCAGAACAAATCACTGAACCACCAACTTGTCTTGCAATTTCAGCATAAGAGAGGCCATTTTCTCTCAATTTGACAATTCGGCTCCTTTTTGTAGATGTTCAATTAGTTCTTGTTGATGACATTGTTTAAAATTAGTTTAATTAGAAAAAAAAGGACTTTAAATATTCAAAAACAGCAATACTCTATTTAATTGTACTAGTATGCATCATTCCGAAAAATATTTCCACAACAATAACTCTTTTACCATCCAAATAACCTAAACTATAGTTACAGACATTTGATTGGTCCTAAGAAGTGTTTGTGATTGCCTAGTAAGCTTTTATTACAAAACACGTCCTTATTCAAACCGATTTGTGTTTGTTTGTTCTACTAAAAGGAGCATAACTTTTTTTGTAACACAGATCTACATTAAATTACCTTCAATTTGATATGTAAACGTTTGTATTTAAGTGAAAACTAATATATTCTACAAGCACACAAAGTTGAAAAGCATGAAACTTTCAAAAAATGTCCACACTTTTGGCCACCACTGTATATATATTTTGCCCCATGGCAAGTACTTAAATAAAAACAAGAGACAATTACTATTATTATTTGAATTAATCTCGCAAATGACTGTCTATATTTTCAACTTGTGCAGAAAGTTCATTATTTTAAATTTTATTTACTAACATATTTCAAACAGATAAGTTGTTAAAATTTATTCTATTTATTTTTTTACTTTATTATTATTATTAGATTTTTTTTATTTATTTATAATTTTTTTTTTTTTTTTTGCCTTTTAGCCTGAATAAAACAAGAGACAACTACCCACTCCTCTATTATTTGATTTCAGAACAGGGAATTAAAAATCTTATCGAAAAACAAAATTGTTTCAGTTGACAGTTACAGATATTCATTGTCCTATTATTTTTTTTTTTTAAATGTTACTTCAAATATAGCACATTAAAGGACTAATAACCAAAATGTTTTTATGTTTGAATATCAAATAAAAAGTTAAAGTAGTCATTTATTTATTTATTTTTTAAAAGAGTCAGGCAATATAATATAAAATAAATATAACATAAAAAAAGTAATGAATGAAAACATAAAAAAAGAACAAATAACACTCTAATCACAATTTATTATTAAATCAAACAAATCTGTACAAAAAAAATTAAAATGTGTAGAACATAAAATCAGAAAGTCATGCAAGGAACAAATTATACATCTTTCAGATTTAACATAAAGAGTTAGCCCTAAAAAAATACTTTACAATACAATAAAAAATAACAAAACCAATTTTTTTGTGTGACTTGTACAATCAGTAAAATTTTTTAAAATCAACAATTGCAGTAACTTATACTGTCTGTAATATATTTTAAATTTAAACAAAGATAAAAGACAGTATTAACTATTGATTCCAATAACAGTTCCAGTCAAGAGTAATAACTGTCAGGAATACATTTTTAAATTCAAACAATGATAAAAAGATAGTGTCTATTATTGAACCTAATATTAGTTCCTTGTCATTTGAAAACTAATTTATTATTCTTGACTAATAGCCCCAAACCAAAAACCCTAAATTTTTTTACCAAATGCCAATCCAAAAAGCAATAAACCAATCATAAATTTTGTGTTTCTCTTTCAAAAAGCAGATTTATACTGCAAACAATAACAACTGAAATAACTTAACTGATCTCTCTTCTTTTTTTTCAAAGCTTACTGCAATTTCATTAATAAAAAATGACAGTAATATTAAAACAAAAGCTTATATACCATTTGTTATAAAAGTGACAATTACATAATGCATGCAATAATTAAATTTCATTTGAATAATATTAATAACACTTATTTTAAAGTAGCAATTTGTGAAAAATACTACATATGATTGTATTTTTCAATACGTAAAGCATACGAAAGTAAAAAAAAAAAAAAATCGATTATATCACCACACAGCTACTTTTATCATCGATAACAAACGATTATGCAAACATCGAAAATGAGAATATGAATAATGTACAGGATGTGAATCTATTGCGAAAAGAGACATGAAAATTAATTAGATGGTTGAATGATAAATGGATTATTTATTAACAAATTATGATACAATGATTTCTGATGATTGAATGAGTATTTAAACCATAGTAGTCGGATGATTCATTATTTATTTCTAGAATATATCACAAATAAAGAAAAATGCACATTATTGTTGGGAAGGGCCGGGAGGCTGCTGTGGCATAGGATATCCAGGCAATTGAGTTGCGGTTGGTGGTGGATACGGATATGGTACTTGCATGGGAGGATTTACGTAAACTTGTGAGTTGGGAGGAGGAGGGGGGTAAGAATACTGTGGTGGAACAGCATGATGGGGAGCAGCAGTGTACAATGGATAGTTGCCAGAATAAGCATAAGGCACAGTATAAGCTGTAGCTTGTGCATTAACAGTGCACTGCACTTGGCCAACAGAATACGCCAATTGCTGCACTGTCTGTAATTGCTGGTAAGCATCCACTGTTGTTTGAGGAACTGGAACAGCAACAGCTGTTTTTGGTTTCCCTGGTGGAGGCGGTGGTGGAGGAGGTGACCGCGGTGGTGGTGGTGGAGGAGGAGGTGGAGAGCTCGCCCTCTCTACTTTACGTATATGTTTTACTTTCACTTTATGTCTACGTTCCTTCGGAGGTGGAGGAGGGGGTGGCGGTGAGATGGCACCAACAAATAAATCTTTAGTAGGTGGTATACCATCAGCAAAGGTAACACTTTTTTTGGGTTGGGCGTCAGAATCTCTAGATGGTGTCACTAGAATACCAGCTTTTGGAGCAATCAAGCCAGAAGGAGCTGATGTGGATGATGCAACAGCAATTAAGGGGTTACCTGACACATTATTATGCTCCTCTTTGTGTTTCCTTTTCTTTTCAGAAGAAAAAACGAGAATATTTTCAAGATTAGTTGAACTAGATTCTGTACTTGATAGTTTTTTAGAAAGAGGAACATTACAAGGACTTATTAAACTTTGATCAGATATTTCAGCAGATGAAGACACAGCTTCACTGGTATCCAATGTCGATGCTGTTGAAACATCCACTACAGAGCTGCTGACAGCTTTATCCTGAGGTGAAATGATTCCTTTACCACTTTTTGCATTGACAGCAAGGAGAGCAGAACTCATGCTCACATAATTAGCTAGCATTTTAGCAACATCACTTGTCTGAGAGGATTGCAATAGCGCTGCTAAAGCATTCTCTCCTCCAGAATTCGTAAATCCAGATGAAATTAGTTGTAACTGTAATTGTTGGATGTATTCTAAATAAGTTTTTGTAAGATTATTTACATTCAGAGATGGAGAATTATTAGAGATATTTTCAGTTTGAGTTATGCAATGAGACTGTGCCTCTGCCTGGGCAAATACATCTTGTGATGCATTCATCGCGGGTATTTGATCGTTGTTTAGGCTGTTTGTAAGACTAGAAACTTGAGAATTATCACTACTAATGATGACATTTTCTTTAGTAACACTCTCAGAAATTGTTGCACTGGTTTTTGATAATTGTGTCTTATCTTTTTTAGGCGGTGGTGGCGGAGGAGGAGGAGAAGAATACCTGTTCTTAGATTTCGAGTGTTTGCTTCGTTTACTACGCTTGTGTTTCTTTTCTTCAACAGATTGTGTGGCACTCTGGTTTTGTTCATTAAATTGTGTTACATTCTGAAAAGAACTAGATAGCTGGTCTGACAGAGGAACTGCTGAACAAGAATCTGATGTATCTTCATTCATTGGAAAAGGCATGTCGTCTACTTTAAGCTCTTCATTTTTAATGCTTTCTTGCTCAATCATAGCACAGTTAGGCAAAGTTACAAATTCTGCTATAACATTTGAAGTTTGATTTTCAGTGTCTACTGACTGGATTTTTAGTGTTGGTTGAATCTGTTTCATTTCTTGACTAGGAATGCATTCACCACCTACTTTGAAGTATACATCTTGTGTATCAACAAAATTAGAAATAGTAACTGAATCAGAAGCTAATTGTTCAATGATCATTTCATTGTCCTGATGCTCATTCGGTTCATCTTTGACTTTACTTTCATTTTGGTCTAAATTACTAACTTGTTCAATCTCGGCAAATTCTGGAGAATGTTTAATTTCTACATTTGGCTCAGTAGAACAATTCTTTTCTTCCAAATTTTCAACCAGTGCTTTCATAGTTACTGAAGAATTTGTAGATTTTGGAATAGTATCTAATGAAGGAAATATTTCACCTTTTATCTTACTAGCGTGACGGTAAATAATACCAACTGAAGACTTAACAGGATGTTTATCTGCACTAATATTTTTTGATATATTAATATCACCAGCAGATCCGTTTAAGTTTAGCAATTTCATAAATTCATCATATTCAGAGTTCAAATCACTTGACAATGGTTCTTTTGTTTCAAGTGACTCAGAATTTAGAACAGTACTCTCACCTGAAGTATTAGCTTGATTATGAATCGTTGATTCAGAATTCCGACTTTCTGATAATTCATCTGTTTCCAATATAATGGACGATTCAGGTTTTTTGACAACAGATGAATCGGATGCCTGTTTTAAACAATTCAAAGATGAAGCATCCTTATGGCAAGAAGTTTCAATCAAATTAGGTGAACTTTCGGATTTAATATCAATTGGAGCATTGTTTTTTAGTGTCTTGAGTGGTTTAGCATCAGGAACTTCAGTCGGTATTGGAAGAAGACTTTGAGGTTCATCTTTTATTTCTTCTGAATTACTAACATGTGATATTTGAGGAGAAATTTTTTCTACGGTTGAGTCTTTTTTATCTTCAGTCACAATTAAAGCATGGCTTGAACCTTCATGATTATCACTTTCCTCAGTTTTAGCTTTATTGTCTTGTCGATCTTTCTCCTGAACTGGGTTGGTTTCTTCAACAGTCAAAGAATTACTATTTGACTCTGGACTCCATTCCATTCCAGAATTACTGTCTGAATCAGTGTCCCATTTGGATTTGATTTTTATAGGTGGAGCGATTTCTTTAACCTTAACATCTTTTGAAGTCAAACTTGCAGCAGTGAAATCCAACTTCTCAGCTTTCACACCAACTTGATCAGCTTTATTAGCTGATTTTTTGCTTTTTAAGTTTCTTTTGTAGCTTGTCGAAGAATCAACAGTCGAATCTGTATCATACTTTAGTGATTTCAAAGTAGGGCTCTCTACTTGAGCGTAACAAGTCTTCAGAGCATCAAGAGCTGACAATGATTTAATAGCAGGAGGAGAAGCATCACTATGCTCTGAGCTGGAATTACTCAAAACAGCTTTGGTATCTTCAGTAGTTCTGTTAAAACAATACTGAATTGGTGGCTTTGTTTTTGTGTACCGTACATGGAATTTAAGCTTCAACTTTTTTTCTTTATTATGCAGTTTAGAATCCAATTTTAATTTTTTCTCTTTTTTACTATGTTCTTTCTCTGCGTCATGCTTTTGCTTTTTCAGTTTCGTTTTTTCAATCGCACCATCATCAGAATGCTTCATATGCTTCTTTTTAGACTCAGTTTCTAGTTTTTCGGAAACTTCGTCTTTTATTTTCTTCTTTTTTATTTTCACATTATCTTTAAGCGTTGATACAGAGGTAGGTGTAACTATCTTTGCTGCACTATCTTCAGTATGATGTGATTCAACAGTGGCTTCTTGTTTAATAGTTACACTGGAATCAAACTCGTCTGTAGTTTTAGTTACACAATCTTCGTGTATTTTTAATTCCTCAGATTTGTCTGGTAAGTCGCATTGTGTAGAGATTTTACTTTCGGATTTTTGCAATGTAATTTTATCATCGATTTCTAGTTTTTCTTTAGAATTTTCAAAAGATTCTACAATGGACTTATTTTTTCTGTCACTTTTATCAGAAGAAAGTTTCACAACTTTATTTACAGGAATAGGAACAACAGTGGCAACATCTTTTTTTGGTGAATCAATACACAATTTAGAGCTTTTTGAATTCTCTGGAATATCAGAAATTACAGTTTCAGTAGGAATAGCAGTTTTAGCAATTTTCTTTTTCTTTTTAATTTTTTTCTTTTCTTCAGCACTAGAACTCGAAGAGCTACTACTTGATGAGCTACTTTCAGCATCAGAAGAGCTGCTTGAACTACTACTACTACTATCATTATCTGAATCACTGCTGCTGCTGGAGGAGGAACTGGTTTTAACAACTTCCTTCTTTTTTTTCTTTTCATTCATCACTTTGTACATCACACGAATAGTGTCTTCAAATTTTGTACTAGAATCAGTGATGTCGAGACCAGCTTCTGAACAAAACTTCTTGAAAGTTTTATTTCTTAGCATCTTCATCAAAAATTTATCAGTTTTACTTTTACTATGTGATGATTTTTTAATCTTGGATTTCACTTTGGGGTGTTTAGTACTTTTCCCTACGGGTGGTACAGCTTTGGATTTCGCTTTTTTCAGCTTATGGGATTGTGTTTGAGGTGATTCGTTAGAAGTAAGATCATGAATAGTTTCTTCCTGAACAGATTTCTTTGCTGAACTTTTTTTACTGGGTTTAGATTCATCAGTCATTTGCAATTCAACAACACTAGACAAATTAACAGAATTTTGGTCATCATCTTGCTTTGAGTTTTCATTACTACTTAATTTATTACCAGTTTTTATTGGAAATGCTATTTTCTTACTATGTTTAGATTTAGCATAATCATTAATGCTACTAATTTTTTCTCTAATAGTATGAGACAAATCTGAACTACCGTTAGAATGGTTGCTTTTAAAAGATATATTGGAATCTCCAAGAGAATTCTCTTTATCGAGAGGGTCCACAGAATTTTTTATGCCAAAATCTGCTTTAACACTAGGGCAGTCTCTGTTTAATGAACTTTCTTCTTTTAATTCCACAAAACTGGAAGAAAATCCTGCAAATGCATAAGCTGATTTCTCTTCCTCAAATGTGTGTTTGATTTCAGCTTCTACATCTGTTAAGCTTGTTTTAGTATCTTCACTTAATTCCATGACCGTTTTATGTGCCTCTTCAATAATTTTCTTCTTAACTTCAAATGTATTTTTGCTGTCTAAATCAGCTTTCTGAATGTTTTTAGAATCTGAATGCTTATTTCGAATATTACTAAGATCCTTTTTATCATCTGTTTTGCCATGAGAGGGTTTTGGTTGTTCTCTTTCCTGTGACGATCTCTGCTCTTCTTCATAAGATGGCTGTGTTTGCTCCTTTTCCTGCAATGCTCTCTGCTCTTCTTCAACAGATCCTTTCGAATGTTCTCTTTCCTGTAGCGATCTCTGCTCTTTTTCCGTAGATCTTTTCGATCGCTCTCTTTCCACAGATCTTTTTGGTCGCTCTCTTTCCATAGATCTTTTTGATCGCTCTCTTTCCTGTGGTGATCTCTGCTCTTTTTCTACAGATCTTTTTGATCGCTCTCTTTCCTGTGGTGATCTTGGCTCTTTATCTACAGACCTTCTTGATCGTTCTCTTTCATGTGGTGATCTCTGCTCTCTTTCTACAGACCTTTTCCTTTTTTGCCTTTCATAAGAACGTTTATCTTTTTCAGGAGTTCGTCTTCTTTCTCTGCTAGGAGATCTCCTTCTATCATAATAATCTGTTCTTCTGTATTTTGAACTTCCTTCTGTGTGCCTACTTCTTCGTTCTGAAGACCTGTCTCTCTTATCTGATAATCTGTCCCTACGCTCCGAAGACTTATCTCGTCGTTCAAGAGATTTTCTCCTATCTCTCTCACGGGATTTATAATTTCGATCAGAATTTTTAAAATTTTCCTCATCAGATCTTCTTTTTTTAGAACTCGAGCTTTTACTATCGCGCACTTTTTCATCAGACTTTTCTGATGGACTGTTTTCACCAGCACTTTTTTCAGAGCCTTCAATCATATCAGTTTTTACAAACTTTAGGAATCCAAAATTTGGTTTCTTGGAAAATACTTCAGGTGGACGAATAGGGTATTCAGATACTTCAGATTTTGAAGAAGATTGCTGATTGTCATCTTCAGCTTTTTGTTCAGTCTCTTTTTGTGGTTCTTCAGCCTGAACATCGTCTTCTTTACTCATACCACTATCTTCTTCCTCTTCTTTAAAAACTGCAACAACACCCGCACTAACTTTTTGATTGGCTTTTTTAGATAAACTGAATGATAGAGCACTAGATTTTCCAGAATTAGAATCAGAATTAGAAGCATTCGACTTCAAACTTTGAGAAAATGCCATAAGTCTTTTTCGAGCTAAAGCTTTCCCCAGCAAGACTAGCGATTTCGGTACAAAAGTGTCTTCAGTTTGAGGTAGATTCAAATCTGACTGAATGCTTTCTACAACACTTTCTTCCTCTTTGGTTTCAACCGGAATTTCTAAAATGTTTTTAGAGACAGGCTCATTTTTGTCTTGTTCTTCTAATTTAACAGTACAAGGAGGTTCTGCTTCCATAGGAAGAGACATTCCAGGAAGAGGTGGCAAATCCACATCGTCAGGAGAGAAAAAAATAGTATTTAGGAAAAGGTCAGACCACTCAGAAGTATCTACGTGATTTTCCTCAATTTCTTCAAGAGGAGGCTTTTCCTCTTCACACAATTCATCTGGTACAGGAAATTCAGCGTTAGAAGATAACGGTTCTGGTAATTGGCAGCTTTCAGAATCGGAATTAGGTTCTGGTTCTTCAATAGGATAGGAATTATCGATTTGTTGATCTTCTTCTGTTATGTGAGAATCAAAGGAATTCAAGTTGTTGTCCAATGCAAAATTTAAATTAGAGTAAGGATTGTCTGAATGCCTACTGTCTTCCATTAGCTCTTCACCCGGATCACTAACATCTTCAGATGGGTGTGTTGGAGAATAAGTACAATCACCATCATCTTTAGGTAAAGGTTGCTGAACAATACATTCATCAACAATCATAAAACCACCTCCAGGTATGAAATTTTCACCAGTTCCCATTTCAATTGGACCCCTGAAATTATAACTTATAATAAATATCTCAGTAGACAATATTTACTAGTTTAAACTATGAGAAAATATTTTTTAAATTACAAGAAAATTATTTCAGTTTAATTTTTATTTTATTTTTTTTAGAAAGCATACTTAATGAGATTCTTTAGAAAGCAAGTTATGTAATATAAATTCTAACTGGAAAAAAAGATTACTAAAAAAAAGATAACTATATGTTCTAAACCTTATACCAGAATAAGAAAGTTTTAATATTTCCAGGAATCTCATTGCTTTACAGCTGGTTAAATTATTTGTAAAAATAAGCAAAACTCATTGCTTTTTATTGAATTCAATAAATGAAATAGCCAGTATGACATGCTTTTTAGTGCAATAAATAATTAGAACTTACATTATTGAAGATACAGTTATAGGAGAACTATATGCTATACCTTTGTTCATTACAAACTTGAAAAACAATTACAAAAATCATATTGCTTTTTTTTTGTTGCTGATGAATGCCTACAAATATGTCCTTCTGCAATCCATTTCAAGCTTACAAAAATTTTAATTAGGGTATAACAGTGAACAAACCTCATTTCAGCAAGCTGTGCACGTTTTTCTGCAAGCTCATGCAGTCGTTTGGCCTCTTTTTCTTTCTTTTTGTCTTCTTTTCTCCACTTAGATGCCACATTACGGCCGAATTCTCTTTGCTTGAGGTCTTTTAAACGCTATAAAAAAATTTTTTTTAATTACATTAAAAAAAAATTCACATAATGAATAAATGTATTATAATTTAAAAGGATACCAGCAAGTAATGGTTGCATGAAGGAAAGGTTTAAAATCATTTTAAATTTATTGTTTTAGCATTTTTTTTCTATTACAAAATAAGAATTAATTATTTATTTCCTCAAAATTAAATTTTAAAAACTCTACACCTAATATTATGGTTCATATTGCGAAAATCAGACTTACAACTTTGATGCTGAAAAAAGTTATAATAATAACAATAATAAAAATCATCACTTTGTTATACTATAACCTAGGAATCTTGAAATAAGATAAAATGTTGATAAATGATTGTTTTTTTACTTTTAAATAAAGCTTTTTACTCTTAAAATATACTTTACAAATGAATATATTAACTAATCTTACTAAAAACAATATTTTTACTCATAATCTATATAATAAATCTGAATACCAAAACTGTATCAAATAATAATTAAATAAAATTAAAACATTTTTAAAATAAAAAATGATTAAAAAAGATAACAAATACTCTTAAAACTATGAAATAGAACAAATACTCTTAAAACTATGAAATAGAACAAATGAACTTTTTGATTACCCCAAACAGATTAGTAATTAAGTGTTAAAATTTGCAACTAATTCATCCATTATTTAAATTTATGGCACTTCCATACGATATGGACTATGGTACACCAAAATGCATTGTAGATGAATAACCCCAGAGTAAAAACAATACTTTATTATTAATTCATGGTGAAAAATGGTATGGTAAAGAAAAAATAGCGTTTTTTGAATAAGATAAAATAAGGCTCTTTTTTTAAACACCCAATGAATATTACCTACTTTTAAAGGTCATAAAAAAGCGGAAACTAAAACATAAGCACTTTTAAAAAATGCTATGCATTCGGTTCTAGCATACATGCATTATTTACGTTTATCCTGTCGACATTTCAGTAAGCTTCAATAATGAAAAATAGAGACTTCAATATGCATAAATAAATTTATCAAATTCATGTCTCTCCAATTTTGTGATACGATTCAGAACATTTTCTACTTCTAATACCTTAAATCTTAATTCTCATTTTCGCTACTTATTTTAGAGTTAGTTGAAAGCTGCCTATTTCTCTTGAGCCTTAATTATTTTCTTGGTGATGATTTTAGATCGAAGCTCTTTCCAAACAAATAACTATTTTTTGTATGTGCAACAATTTTGCTATTACTTTTTATCTTTCACAACAGTTCAAAAAATTATCTTAAAGTAAATATTTCAGCAAATCAAGAAGAATGGTCTGAGTATGCTCATTCTTTTTTATTTTTTCAAATCACCGTAGAGCTAAAATAGGAGGTACTAATAGGTACACTGAGGTACTAATCTATTTCAGTAAGCTGTAATAAAATTGCTAAGCTACTATTAATGCAAGCGATACTTAGTTAATTGTGATAATAAGTACTACTGATCCCAGTGATGACTGGTCGATACGAATTCCCCACCCAGCTCACACTGACCACAGTGCTGATATAAAATATCCTCAGTGGTCGGCAGATCATGGGTTAGAGTCCCCTTGCCGTTAGGCTAACAGTGGGAATTTTTCCTCTCTATGTAACGCAAATGTGAACATCAAAAAGTCTTCCAAGAAGGCAAATTTCTTCAAATACTTGATCCAGAAGTTCCCTTGCATTCTGGATTGGGTTCAAAATTACAAGGCTACCGTGTTGAACATTGGTAGCCGTAAACTCAAAATTGGGTGGACTGTTTAACGACAGTTATAAAATAAAATAAGTACTACTACTACTACGGTAATAGGTAGCTAATATAGGAATTGTGGTTAATGAGTTGGTTACAAACCTCCAAAACAGATTTGTACCAAAAAAATTCATACAAATATTTTTACATACAATAACCTCTTTTATTGCCTGTGTTAACTATAACATGCTAATAATTAAGTCATTAATTGTTAAATCATCAAAATACAAATAGTTACCTGTTTATGAGCATGATCATAAGAATTAATGTGATTGTCAAACTCTTGATATTTGTAATACTGTTTCTCACATAACTCACAGTAAAAATTAGCCTTTAAACTAGCTAAACCTTCTTGAACAGCTTTCTCTTTTTCTTGCACAGCCTAAAAAAAACAGGACTACCATTTTAGGAAAAATAGAATGTTAAGTCAGATTGTATCCCTAATAAATTATGTTTTAAAACGAAAGCTCTCAAACCAGAACACTATGGTTGAATGTCCAAAATGTTTCAAATTACGTTGTGTACATATGGATGAAAAAAGTTTTTATAAAACTTATTTTGACTACTGAAAAGATCAACCTGTTAATCAATTCAAGAATTATATATTTATTTCTAATTAATGGACTAAGTTTCAGATTTGTTTCATCTTAGCATTTCTAATTTTATTGAAAACCAGTAAATTGGTGGTTATGTGAGTCAAATTAAAATCTATGATGTAGCTTATCTATGATCTTAATTAAGAAACAAAAAAAATTCCTTCATGTTTGATCGTAACATTGTGAAAAAAAATAAACGAAAATACTCAAACAACTTGCCGTGATTTAAAAGAAATATTCAATTTTGAAGAGTTTTCAGAGGATGAAACCTTGCCTTGTCTTGACAAATAAACTGTTGATACTATGATAAGATATTAGTCAAAAATGTTTTTGTTTTTCCCATTGTATTGTAAAATTTATTTGCATAAAGACAATCTTAGTAAAAGTTGAACATCATAGTTACTTGTAATATCATGCCCTTGTAATTCATTTAACAAATGTTGAACTTATGATGTAAAATACTTGGGTCAGTTATTAAACATTGGTGATTAATTAAAATTGATCACGAAAGAGTTTCACTAAGTAGGTAAGTAGTAATGTAGACACAAAATTCAGAGTTCAAGCTACCCACAGTAAATCCTAAATTATTAAATTTTTCTAAACCTAAGAAATTAACTGCTCCCAATCTCTTTGGGGAAAAAAACAATATCAATAGAATCTTTAAAATTGTTAATACTTTCCAAAATGCAGCTCATTGTACAAATAAAATAATTTGGGAAAATACAATTATTGGGTTATTACTTTATACTTTTGTTGCAATTCAACAGTATCTTGTTTTTCAGTTTCTAAAACTCTTCTTTTTTCAGTTGTTTCATCTGCATAATCCATCTAAGCACATTAAAAAAAAGTATATAAAATTTCACATTCTGTTATTTTAAGGACACAACAGAGCAACTAAAGCAAAGCTTTGCTTCAAACTAACAATAGAAATTATATAAGTAGATAAACAAGAACAATTACAATAAATATGAAACCAATCAACTTAATAATTATAACTCTTTATAATATTTTAATTACTAAGAATGAGACCTTTCTTTTGAATATATATGCACACACATATATTATACACACACATATGAATTATTTTAAAAGTGTTTAAGTTATGCAATTTCTCATACAAATCAATAAAGTTTAAAGCTTTTAAAGATTTGAGGGGCCAGCAATAAATTATAAATAAAAAAGAATGTTTTTGAACACCCTATGCCAAAAAATGCAGCGATAAGCTTGTAGCTTATGCCAATTACGTCGATTATCTTATGAAATAACTGCATGCATAAAATTTCATAAACCTAGCTTAAATATTCATAAAAGATATGGACATTTTTATAAAAAACTAATTTTTGTTACATATGTTTTCTTATTATAACTGCAGAAATATTCAATAAAATTAAACAAAATTTGGTGACTTACATTTTTTTACTATAACTGCAGAAATATTCAATAAAATTAAACAAAATTTTTAGAGTAATTTTTAATTATTAAAAAATGTCATTTTCAAATTTGAAAAAAATTGGTTAAAAATAGTGAAAAATACGAGTATTTAAAGTAATCTTTTCATGTTGTGCATGTATGGAAAGTATTTAACTTTTTTCCCCTTCCTAATTTTGTTTAGAATCGTACTTGGTAACTTATGAAAAAAGTCCAATTTGTATATCTTAAAAATAAAAAAAGTGGAGCAATTTTCTAAGTAATTTTCGTTCAATTGGAAAAAAAGTTTTGAATGATAAGGGGTTTTCCACAAATTTAATTTTGTACTATTAAACAAGAATTTAATTTTCTACTATTAAACAAGATTCGGCATAATATAGGACCACACCTTATTAAATAATGTTTTATTTCATAATACCATCACATTTTGTAGTTCGGAGCATCATTTATGAGAGCATTGGTTATGAAACTTTGTTTTATGATACAAAATGAAATTTGTGGAAAAACGCTTATCATTTAGAGCTTTTGATTAAAAAAAATATAAAAGCTACATAAAAATTTGCTAGAAACTTTTTACATTTTCAAGATATTTAAATCAGACTTCCTTAAGATACAATTCAATTCTAAACAAAATTAAGATTAAAAAAAATTAAACAATTTTTCTGTGCATGAGTAATATGAAAGGATTACTTTAAATACTTATATCTTACAAATTTTTTTTCAAATTTTAAAATCATATTTTTATTATTAATTAAAAGTTACTCTAAAAATTTTGATTAATTTTATTGAATATTTCTGCAGTTATAGTAAGAAAACATAAGTCAAAAAAAATTTGGTTTTCCACAAAAATGTCCATCTATCCATGAATATTTAAGTTAGGTTTACAAAACTTTGTGCAGTTATTTCATATGATAATCAACATAATTGACTTGCTTCAAGCTTTTCACTGTATTTTTTGGCATAGGGTGTTCAAAAACATTCTTTTCCGTTAGTAATTTACTGCCAGTCTCACAAACCTCTAAAAGCTTTAAACTGTGCTGATATGTATGAGAAATCACATGACTTAAACATTTCTAAAGTTTATTAAATATTCTCTAAATATTTCTCGCAAAATATGAAAAAATTAGTTAGCATAGAAGTGTTTTCATTACTCTGTCCAACTCTTGTACATATACATACACAAACATATACATATATACATACACAAAATAGAACAGAAGAAAAAAATATAATAATAGTTTTTACTTTTTGTGTGCAATAATTGTCTGCAGTGCATAAAATAAAAAAAGTTGCAAACCATCATATTACTTTCGACCTAATCGTTGGATTTTTATGTACTATGAAGCTAACTTCATAGTTTAAGGAGTTCATCTAAAAAAATTAAGGCAGATTACAATTGTATTATTTTTGAAATTTCATCTTCTTTTATGGCGCAACAGCCTATTGTAGACTTTCACAGGTGGAACAATGTTGCTCCAAACCTTACAGTTCTTAGGCTTTGATTTCCAATTAATAATTTTCCTAATGGTAAGATTTTTTGCAGCATCATCTAACCATCTCTTTTTAAGCCTGCCTCCGAGTCTTGAGTTCATCTGATTCCAATTTGAGATTTTTCTCAGCACCATATTTTCAATTGAAACTAATTAATTATCTTTTCACTCATACATAAAACTTTTTTATGCAAAGATAATTTCATGCTAAAAATTGTAGATACAAAAAACAAAAACAAAAAAAACACTAGTTTGTATTGATTCTTAGCAACTACTTTTAAAATTAATTTAGTGAAGAAATAGGGTACAAACATAATTTTTTGAGTGTGATTAGTGCAAATCTTATAAAAGATCATCAGCAGATGCACTAAGAATTTTGATGATCGATTTCAATTAGCTCCACTTATCAGTTAAATAAACTTGATATTTATACACTAAATAAAATCCTTAATATTTGATAATTTTCTAATATTTCTTTTTTAAAAATATTCACTGTCAAAAAAGACATAAAAAGTTAAAGTATGAAAAAAAAAAGATCTTTTAATTATTCAAAGTAAATTTTTTCACAAAATTGCAGGGGGATAATCCTTTCAATAAACAACTTTTATTATGAACATAAGAGTAAATTATTTATCTTCTAAAGACATCCAGCTAAATTTAGCACCTAAAAGTAGTTAAGTAGTGGTTACAGTTTGTATAGTTGTTTGTAATCATAAATTTAAAAAAAAATAATAATAGTTGCAGCTATTAACTACATTTGCAAAAAAATAGTTGCAGTTGTAATTAACTTTAAAAAAATAGATGTTTTTCAGACTGATAACACCAATTTTTAACTGATTGAACCAATTTTTAAAATCACAATAAAAATGTCGCAATCTAAAATTTTTATGAAATCAATTGAATAAGAAATGAAATATTCAAAAATGTTATTTATTTCTCTTAATTCCGGTTTTAAATAACCTTTGAATATTTATTTCTCTTAAACTATTCAACTGAGTTAGTTACACTGATAAGTACTAATAACTAGATGTATTAAAACAATTTTAAAATTCAACATGTTTAAGTCAATGTTTAAAAAAAAAGCTAAAAATAAGTAAAGCTAATTCCATCTTTATCTAAAGTTACAAAATTGAATATTTTTCAAAATTTTCCTTTAAAGTGGTGCGTAAAACAAATGATTGTTTTAGATTCCCGCTCTAAATAGAAAAAAATTAGATCATAAACACATTCAAATCAGCTTTGTACATTAATTATCTAATTTTTGAACTTGCTGAAAGATGTGCTAAAAGAACAAATTTTATTTGCCAATATGTCACAAATTTTGTTCTGAAATTCCAATTTGTTCAAAACTTATTACAAATTTAAGGGTCTTTTTTGAGATATTTATCAGCTTTTTTTTTTGCTTTGAATATCCATTGTCGCAGAAAAAAAAAATTTCCATCATGATATCATTAATTTATGAGCTCTGGCCTCAGTAAATGTCAATTAAAAATAGTAATAAAAAATAAAAAAAGAGATTACACGCTGCCGGATATAAATCTTAAACCTTATAATGAAATTTTTAAGAATAAAATTTTTTTATTAAAGAGCGATAAAATCCATTCCTTATTTGAATTGTTAGAAGCCTAATCAACAATTACAATTACTTCTCATTTATTTCTTCTCATTCATCACACAATTTGTATTCTTAGAATAAGTTTTTTAAAGTGCAGATGATAATTTTTCAAATCTAGGCATTCAAATCTTTAGTTATGATTAACAGATTAATAAAACTTTCTTACATAAAGCTACATTTTATATACAAAATGTTCTGTGTTTTTGAGGAAAATATTAATGTTTAAGAAAAGTGTGAATGTAAAGTCGGGGTTAGTGGGCAGAGCGTTCAGAGACGAGCCTTCTGTATTATTACTACATCCAATTTCATTATTACCTTTAACTGGGTTCCCACTCAATTTCAGAAAAAAATTCTCTGGCTTTTCCAGGTATATCAGGAAAATTTCAATGAAAATAGAAGCCATATTTTATCTATACTATGCAATTTCTCATCAGAAAGCTTTGTTTTTTTTTCCATACGTAATGTCAAAAATTTGATTTTTTGAGCAATAAAATATTGAATGAGGATGGAAAAATTTCAACATAATGTAAAATTTTTACAACAAATATTTGTGATGGATGTTAGAATTATTTAACTTGAATCTCAATGACTGATTACTGTTACTGACAATTCTAAGACTATTTGTTTTCAAGGTATAATGTAAAAATTTTCCAGGATTTTGTAAAAAAATAAATAAATAAATAAAAACTTTTAAGTACTCCCTGCTTTTTAGAATCAAAATAAAACTTCCTGACAGTTCCAAGTTTTTCCTGTTTCCCATGGGATAATGATAATTCAATCAGCCATTTAAATTAAATTAGCTTGAAAATAGACAGTGACAGCAAAAATCTATGAAATCTTCAAACGATAGAAATAAATAATGTATGATGAACCATATCAAAATTTAAAATCTTAATAATACTAATATACCAAGAATTATAATCGCGGAATACTTATCATACTAGGTTCAACAAAAAATAATATGAATAATCCATAAACTTGTCAACACACAATACCTTATAAAGTAGAGAGATTTTGCATTTTAAAATAATGCATTAATATTAATATCAACGTCTAAAAAAACTATTCTATCATCAAACAAAACTAATCAAAACTAATAAATCAAGCAAAGTACAACATTATTATTTAACTAAAAAAGCAAATAAAACATTTTACTTACTAATTTAACTATAAAGAATAGATAATGCAAGCAAATATGGTTTAATTAAAATGATATACAGTTGTTGGTACCTGTATATACGCAAATAGTACCCTTTTCGATAAATATTTGATACATCTCAAAAGAATGAAAATTTTTTGTCTTCAAAGCAATATGAATATTTATTGAAATACTTGATACCTCCTGGTACATAATGCATTAATGTATATTTAAAACATAAAATGGCATAGTAAAAATAAAATATTTAAAAATATGAATTAATTATTTCAGAATTACTTCGTTTGTGAGCAGACTATGTTAAATTAAAATAATTAAATACAGCTTATATATTTATGAAGATATCCGTTTTTTGAATACATATTAGCTTTCTGCAATTCAAGACAAGTAGATATTGATATCTTTTGATAAGAATTATTTGATACGATTCTATAACAAGATGTTTCTAAAAGCTATATTAAAGAATAAATTTAGTTGCTACATAGAATTTTTTGGTAATAAAATATCTTTTTATTGCTAACATAGTCAAGTACTTAATACATCAAAGTTTTGGTATATTTGCAAAATAAATTAGTAATTCTGCAGTTAAGAAAGTGATCTTGAAAAATAGCTGGTTTACATTATATTCTATAATTGATTTCGGACTTTAAAATACTGCATGTTTAAAAAACTTTTTATCAATATACAATGAATTTTGACTTGTAATCAAAATAAGCATTTTAATTTAAGCTACGTAGTACATTTAATTTTTGAAAAACAATTTTAAAAAAACAATTAAATTTCAGCTAAAAAATAAGTCGTATACCAACTTGCCACACATATAATTTTTAAAAAATTAGTTATAAAACTAAAACTGCAAAGCAAAATAATAAAAGTCTTTAAAAAAATACATTTTAAATTCAAATTTATAAAATAATGTCTGAATTCAATTGCTGTAAGATCAACGATTAAACAAAGTTAAAACAAATAATAATTACACTGATTGCATTTAACTATTAAATAACAGACTCAAGCCTGCATTAATTTAATTTATACCAGCATTTTAGTTTGCCATATTACCTATATATGGTAAATAATCAACAATATAATCCAATTAAAAGTCTCTGCTACCTACTTCTGTGTCAGAAATCCCAAGAATTATTTCAAAGAGCTGGCATCAAAATATTAAAGGAACAAGGATTACCATTAACAAACCAATTTTAAAAATTTTTTAAAAAAATTATACAAACAAATCTTGAATAGCTGTAATATCATGGGTTATTCAATATTTAGAAAAATATGTGAATATAAACAATAAGTTTTAACATGGAAAAAAAATACTTTAAAATTTAATATTTTGTTTTAGTCCTTATAATAGAAGTTAGTTTAGTGTAAGTAAAAAGATAAAGTAAAAATATGCAAAAGATAGAAAATTCAATAGCTTTTAACAAATTTGGGAGAATAACTACTTTATTTTGACTTCAATATCCATCGTTTACTTAGGTGTACCATTGGGGGAAGGGGGCACATGCCCCCTCAATAATTTTTAAAACTTCAGAATTTTTAAAAAAATTTTACTTTTTTTAAAAAAACACCAAAAAATATTTTTCATTTTAATAAATTAATTATTTTGATAATTTATCAATAACAAAATAATTCTATGTTTAGCATTTTTATGCAAATAGTATCCTAAAAACCATTTAATGATTTTGATTAAAAATATTTCGATTATTACTTTACAATTTCAGCATTAATTTATAAAGTGGTTTCCAGTTATTTATGCTACATATAATTTTCATTTATACTTATTTTTTTCCAAGTTTCGTTCCTAATTTTAATTGTTTCTGATACATATTTTTCACATCATTTTTTGGATAAGATGGGATCGTTTGTGTTTTCACAACAAATATGTTTACTCAAATTTTGTATTTCAGATTTTTATAACAATAAGTTGCCTACTCTGAATTCATAAACTGCTGTGCACAATAGTTTTAAAAAAATGTTACAAATAAGTAAAAAAATGAAGAAGATAATGAGTGGAAGCATCAACATAGATCGTTATAAAAAAGGGGTATTTTTTTTCTTGTTTTCAAGTGTAAAAATGGGCCGATAAGATTCCTTTCCATGTTGATCTTACCTCCATTTCCCATCGTCCAAAGCCCATGATGTCTTCCTTCATCACAATTGGAAGTGGGTCAAGGCGACCTAGAGTGTCATGAAATAACTATGAAAGCAAAAGAGCTTATTTAACTCTAAAAATTACAATGCAACAAATTGTGAAACATGTTACTTAAAACTAGAGATTTGATTTTGTAAAGTACCTATGTAATAAAATAAATGACAAGTCATTTATTAGCAGGTAAAAGGTCTAAATACATACAAATAAATCACTTCCATTTATATAAAAATTATAACAAATTTGAAAATGTACACTTTAATGTTAAAATTTTTAATTTATTTATCAAAGTGATAAAGAAAAAAGTGTAATATTTTAAAATTCTAATGCAGACGATGCCAATTTCAATAAGAATTGCACACTTTAACCATTGCATTTTCAAGAAAAAAAAGTGTGTATTGAATGCCTTAAGGATCTGCTAAGGTAATGAACAACTAACTTTTAGATTGAAATATTTCATAAAAATAATTCTCAGTACGCTGAGCTTTACCTAGAATAGGGGTGCACATTTTTGAGTGAAGGGCCACTTGCACAGCAGGTAGATTAACAAAGGGCCGCACGCATTTTTAGTCATGTTTGTGTCAAATATGATAATTTTTATATAAATATTAGTGTTCTGAGCGCATAATATTTTTATCAATAAACTTAATAACATATTTGCAAAATTTAATGCTTTTAATTATTTAAATTTATTTAAAACTAAAAAAACTGATACTTTTTTTAAAAAACTTTTTCCACTTTTCACAATAATTAATTTATCAAATATACATAATACATAAATATTAGGGGGGATATAAGTTCTAACCAAAAAGAAGCTTACAGAATGAAAGTGCAAGAACCATACACATTTTAGAGTAATATAAATTTGAATTGAATATTTTAGTTTAAGAAAATTTATAATGTTTTATTGTTAACCAAATTAAAAGAAACTTTTTATTGCTTTCGGAAGTCCCGGCGGGTCACGCATTAACAGACGGTAGGCCGCATTCAACACGCAGGACGCAGGCTGTGCACCCCTAACCTAGAAGAATAGATACACAATCGATAGTCATTATACCTCTAATACTAAGTGAAACTAAGACCGTTTATCTATCAGGGTATTGAAAATAGTGAAGAATGATACGAAAAAAAATTTTTCAAAGAACAACTGATATGGCTGATAGTCGTTATTCAAAGCATAACAACAATATTTGCACAAATAATTATTTAAAATGAACATGAAACAAGCTATTCGCAAACTTTCGGGAAAAATCATAAAATATCACAATTTTAAATAATGAAATAAAACTATTATGCTTAGTTTATTTTGCAATCAAATTGCTAATGTTAAATTGCAGAGTTTGGAATTCAAACAAATTATCAGGACATAAAACCAAAATTAGTCTATCCCAAAAAGGACTCTATGAAAAGGATATTTTGAATATTGAAAACATTTATTATTAATGATTAATCCACTAATCATTCATTTAATTTTGTGGAAGCATTTCATAATAGCAATATTTTATATACTTAGACTTTTTGCACATTAAAAATCATTGATTTATACATGCACAAATAAAATATTGAAAATATATTCTACTGTTTAGACAAAGTGTTCACTTTCCCTTTTTTTAAAGATGCAGTTTCGATTTTACGAGTGTCCAACTCAAATATATATGTAGAAATACTTTTTTAAATTTCTAAATATATATATATATGAAAATCTGGTATAAATGCTGAACGAAAAATATTGTTTACGTATATTGGATAAATAGAAAAGAAAAAATAGAGTTTTCCACAAATAATCATAAACTTGTCAACACACAATACCTTATAANTTTTGCAGGAGTGTCCATAACAGGAGGTTTCACTGTATATATATATATGAAAATCTGGTATAAATGCTGAACAAAAAATATTGTTTACGTATATTGATAAATAGAAAAGAAAAAATAGAGTTTTCCACAAATAATACTGTTGATTGACAGTAATATTTAAAAATATTTTAATAATTTATCATTTAAATTTTCTTGATAAATTTGAAAGAAAAATTTTACTATTTAGGAATTTACACAAAGCTAACTTTCCAATTATACTTTTGCTCTTCCTTGATTCTAATAAACTGGTGAGAGCTTCAAATTAATATCTCAAATCCTTATAAATAGCTAGTATCTAACATAATAGAATTTACAAAAATCCCACTATATTTGAAAATGAACTCATAATTAAAAATTAACAGAAAATTTACAAAGAGTTAATCAATTAAAAAAATTAAAAAACACCATTGACAAAATTTAGGGATACGGTTATTCTAACAAATAAGCCTATTTAAAAAAATTAATTAAAAAAAATTAAGGTATTTGAAAACATTTTTATAATTCCAGATTCTTACAAATATTAATTTAGAACTACATTTAAACAAATAAAATAAGATTAACAATAAATTTGATTGATAATAGGCAGGAAAAAAACTTATTATGCAAACTGCATTGCAGTAAGTATTATGCACAAAATTTATCACCTTCAGGAAGTAATGTTTTTATCCCAATAAGTGTTTCAAATATCATTTCAAAAGATATAAATTTGGTCGGAAATATATTTACAAACAATAAATAATGAACGAAAACAATGATTTTAAACTCAAAATGAAACTTTATTTATTTCTAATTTTATCCAATATTTTTAAAAGCATTTTTTATGCCAATTGGCACCATACCACAAAATATATATATAATATCAAAAACGGATTTTATTAAAAGCATCTTATTTATTTATTTACTTTTTTTATTATTTATTATTTTTTTACAGCCAATTGCTAAAATGGGAAATGACAACATACCCTGTTCAGTTCTTCCCAAGCCTTTCCCAGAACTCCATCCTTGTTTCTGTAGTAACTGATATCCTAAATTATCCTAAACACACACAGCAAACAAAAACATAAGCAATACAAAAAAAAAATTTAAAATAAAAACTACAATGCAATAAAAATAGTACTAAAAGGATCTTATGCATAATAGTTAGTATTATATGAAGAGAATCACATGAAATTTTAACAAGCATTAACCCCTTAACGATCAGTTAATTTTCAAGAAAACGATCATAAAAGTGCCTTTTTTTTTACATCTAGTTTAAATTAAACTAACTATCTACAATTACCTTAAAAATATCCTAGTACTGCCATCTGGTGTGTATAATGAGAAATAAAATGTTTTCCGGCCAAAAGAAATGATTTAGTTTTATTCTTTTTGGCACATTACTAATGAACATTCCAGCCTGGAAATTTAACGGGAGTGAGAAATAGAGGGCAAAACCTCACCCCGTCATTTTCACGGGAGCGAGAAGGAAGGGGTTAAAAACATTGATTGTTATACAATGAACTCTCAAAAATTATAATAAAATAGTGAATATTTTATAAATTTTATTAATCAAAAAACTATAGTAGTGAAGCATTTATCAAAACTGCATAAAATACAATATACTTGTTGCAACAATAAAAAACATATCTTGAGTTACACAGTTTTGTTAAAGTTTATAAATTTTGCAATGTGAAGAATTGCCTTCATATAACAAATATCTAGCCTATTGTAAAATAAACAATTGCTGGATTTTAAAATAATCTAAAACATTTCTACAGATGATATTCAAATTTAAATTCGTAATTACATACACTAATTTTTCAATTAAATGCAAAGATTTAATTGTCTGAACAAATTGCAATTCAAAATTTATTACCTCCGGAATTGGTTGAGCCATAGAGGATTGCTCCAACTCCAAAAGACCATCATCGTAGGTGTCAATGTTCTTGCTCTAATTAAAAATATATACAAAACTTTGAATAAGAAAATGATACATAAATAAAATTTGGAAATTACAAACATACATGCACCATTACAAACATAAAATTCAAGAATATAAAGATATTTAAATCTATAGCAAAAGTTAACAATTGAGTTAACAATAATATATTAATGATAAATTTTACAGTGTTGATGATATAAGAAGTCATTTAACCAACAAAAAGCAAAAATGTAGATCAATGATTTTAAAAAAAAAAACTCAACTGATTTATATCAAATTAACTGTTACTGATGTCTAAAACAATGATAAGCGATGTAACATTTAGACTAGACACAGATTATTTTAATATTCCGGTTTAAATTAATTGGCTTATTTTTAAAGAGGCAACGTTTAATCTTATTTATTTCATGATAATGCTTTAAAGCATTTTACAATACTTAATTTTTAGAAAAAAGCTTTTTGCTTGACTATTGAGCTTATCAAGAAGTTTTCTACTTTTGATGAATGTATCTTAATCTATTATACTGTTAATTTATTATAAATCTTAGTTTATAATGCTGTTAATAGCTTAGTTTATAATGTTTAAATCTTAGTCTTATACATATCTTAGTTTATAATATCTCAGGTTATAATGTTGTTAATATCTTATACCAAAAATTGGAGGACATTTCAGTATCTGTTTGTGCCAACAACTACAGCCTAGGCACAAAAATTTTAAACTTGCAAACACTTTTAAAAATGTCAGATTTGCAATGGAGAGGCTATGAGTTATAAACTTCGAGCTAGTCCCCTTCTGGCAGTTATTTTTTATAGTTTCTCGTAAAGATATTACCCAGAAATCTCCAGATTAAAGGGAGATTTTTGTATTGTGATCTGTGGTAGAATTATCGACAAGTCTTGGAAACTTTCAGACACTGGCCCGCGAGAAACTAAAAAAAACATCACAATAAGGGACCAACTAGAAAGGTATAACTCGCAGTCCCCCCCCCTCAGGCAAACATCTACATGTTTTTTTTAAAAAAGATTTGCAAGTTTAAAATCTATCTAGCACCTTGGCGATTGTAGTTGGCGGGACAGATCACGCAACGGAAATATCCCCCAAATTAAGACGTTTATTTTGGCTTAGATCACTTTTCAGAAAGCTTCCTAAAATTGGTAATGTGGTTCATTTGCTTTGTTGATGTTTGGATTTTAGCACAGAATAACTTTCATTCTAGATTTTAAACTCCGCAAAACATCAGTTTAAAAATATACAATCAACTATACATGCAGCGTTAAAACTGATTTAACAATAGATCTAAGAATCTCACAGACTTATGAGCAGAATTATGAGAATCGTAAAAGAAACTTGAGAATAGTAGGTAGGTACTTCCTTAAATCATATTTACAATGCTCTTTAAAACTGATACTAAAAAAAAAGCAACACAAATCAATAAAACTTAATTAAAGGTTGAAAAATGTAATACTTTAATTTATTTTTGATTTAATATTGATGAAACTACGTCAAGTAAAAATTTTTATCTCAAGTCAAAACTCCATATTTTACCTGGTATTATTTTTTAAGACCCAGCTCATTACAAAAGAAAAAATTATAAAGCATAGATACATATACCAGCCTTATAAGGTTGATAAAGTTTTCGAGAAAGACTTTTTTTTTTTAATAAAATAAAGTTTAGTTAATAATCATTAGATTATGAACCAAATTTTTGGTAATCATACCTCATAATCACGATTTTCATGAAACCGATTGTATCTTTCAGCCATCGCAATTTAAATAAGGTGTAAGTTTTTGATTTGTGTATATGATTTTGCATGTATTATTGGTTCTTAGTTAACTAATATTTATTTACAAATACGTCAACATTATTAATCTAAATACACAAAAAATCTTGATATATTATTTTCTGAATACAAACACTTCATTTCATTTCATTTCAAATTCGAAGAATACCGAAATATCCAAGTATTCAAAACGCTCCACATGAGCTACAAGCCGAATCTCTGTAACTGATCACTCACCGACCGAAGGTGCAAAAAATTCTTCCTTCTCATTCTTCGACTCCATGCTTCTCACGTNAAATTGTTACATCTCCAAAATCTTTTTTTTTTTTTTTTTTTTTTTTTCGTTTTTTTTCTTTTCTCGACATTTGAAAGTTTTTTGAATTTTATATTCATACTTTAACATAGTTATGAAAGAAACATAGAAAGAAAAAAATTTTCGGAGCGTTCCTGTTCCAGTGGTATTATTTTTCACAATCATCCAGCTATATCGGAACTTCTCTATTCTTTCGCTTTTCTTAGGAAGTTCAATTAATTCCTTTTTTTCGCTAGTATTATTTCTTAAAGAAAAATAATTGCTGTCAAAAATTACGATCACAACCAAAAATTACGATTTATTAAAACTGTGATAGTATAAATTTGATTAGAAAATATTCATAAATTTGATTAGAAAATATGGTTTGAAGGTTAATAATCGTAATTTAAAAGCTTCTTTTCAATTTTTTTTTAATTGTATTTCTTTTACAATTTTTATATAAATTAAATTACGAATTATTTACTAACATTGTGAAGCAAAAAACTAAAGAAACATGTAATGTTAAAAAATAAGGATACTCAATAATTTATTTTAAATAAGAATAAAATTAAACTAGCATCAGATTCAATGTGAATCATCATTAACTAGGAGGGTAATCAGTTCATTGAATCTCTGTTATCCTTCGAATGTTTTTATGGTGGCTATTCTGTTTTGGGTCACTTATCAAAATCTATGAGGATTATATAATTCTAGGGACTGTCTTCAGGTTGTCTATAAGGATATGTCTCCAAGAGGGACGTTTGGATTTTAACTGACAGCAATACAGTATTACCATTGAGCAAATGTGGGGATTCATTTAATGAGTGCCATTGTTTATTAGAATAGTTATCCAGTAGGAATGCGTAGAAAATAGGAACTTTTTTTCTTTGTTTTGATACATTAATAGCAGTCTTAAATGTGAATTTTTTAAAATAGGAAAAAAATTTCACGCTGTTAATTTGAAAAAATGCAGAACAAAAAAAATTTTTCTTAAAGAAAAATCTTTTTTTTTTTTTAATTTTTTGGAGACATAAATTGCCATTAATTTTAGTCCTCAACTGCATACATGGGGAAAGTCTAACCAATTAAAACTGACACATAAAAATAAATAAGATAATTTATTTCACTCACTAAATTTAGTAAGACAAGTTAATGCCCGTTTCAATTTTTCTCTTTTTGACAGTATAAAAGATCCTAACGTATATATTTCGGGGATTTTATACCAGATTTACAATGAATATAACATTTTTATTACAAATGATGAGCAGTTGTAGACAAAGGTGGAATGTATCTTGTTTTCCATCTTGATCTGTTTTGATGGTACAGTTAAAGGAAGGGGGAAAAAACAGAAATTTTGGTACACATCGTTAGCTTGACCTACTTGTTTGTTTGAAATTGTATAATTTTACTCAGGTTTTTTTCCCCTACATACAATAGGTATTAATAACCACGACAAAAACCATCCAGCACGGCAGTGAGCATTGCAGAATATCACATCACCAGCAATTTTTTTTTAATCGCAGATCTAAAAAATAATAATAAACTGCTATCAAAACAATGTCTTTTTTTAAAAAAAGAAAATGAAATTCAGGGAAAAATCGAAATCATTGTGAAAAAGCAGATTTTTCTTTTATATATCCTCATTGATGAATTATAAGGAATCATCTCTCGTTCGCAAATTTGAAACCTAAAAATTCATCAGACAGGTGCAGCTTGCATGCAATGCTTCGATAACACAGTTGCACTAACTTATTACGATGTGGAAAAAGTTTTAGTTTCTACGATGTGCTCTGTAACAGTTTCATTCACTAACATATATTCATAAGGGATGAAATTTAAAATTTTTAAAAAGGGAAAAGTATTTTTTTTTTTTTAGGTAAAGTTAAATTTTTATCTAAAATGTTACTCCTCTTCCAGTTTTGAATCTGGGATGATCTGATTTGATATATTGCCTTGATTTTATGTTTAAAATAATTTGCTAATTAGAATTTAATTTGTTTTTCTATTTTGTAGCTTTAACTATGGATTTCTTTACTTTTTTTTTCTCCTTAAGTATTATTACGTAATTTAAAATTAAATTAAGAAAAGTATTTTTGTAGGTTTATCTATCCCATGCATTTCTTTTTATGAATCCCTACCAACAATTTTACATTGGCCCCAAAATTGGATAATATGGGTCCATAAGAACATGCACCGCGGGACCTATATTGGGATGTCTAGATATTTCAATATTGAAACAAGATTCATTTCTATCTAGAACCAACATTGAAAAATCTAGACATCTCAATGTTTACCCAACAATTTAAGTCCATAAGGGTCCCACGTAAAAAATAATATTGGTCCATTATTGAAAGCCATTCTAGGACCAATATTAAGGTCGATTGTTCACTGAGTTTCATCAAAGTACGCGTGTTCCTATCGAGGTGGTCGTTTCTGACGAAATACACGTAGTCAGAACACGTACGAAAGTCAACATGTAGAATGTTTGTTGAAACAAGCCTGTCTGCGTGCTGCCTTTGTGGGGCTAAGTTACCGACAATGTCAACTTTCATCTATTAAGAGCTAACTTAAGATAGAATCAAGTTAGCATATCTTGTATTTTAGGGAACTGGAATTTAAAAGTTGTAGTGGTAGTTACGCTACATGCTCTATATCCTAAGCCTACTAGGTTCCTATACAGAAATTAATATTGGTCCTACGTTCAAAACCATTTTAGGGACCAATAGTAAAAAATTTAGACACCCCAATTGTAAAATATAAAGTCATTCTAGGACCTATTATTACAAAACTTATACACCTCAATAAATTCTAAGACCATTGTTGAGAAATATATAAGACCTTATAGACTTGTAATTAAGGAGCAGTCTTGTATTTACATCTATTAAACCTGGAAAGACTTAAAAATATTTTAATGATATCCATTTTTATATCTAGTTCCTTAATAAATGATTTACAATACAAACAAATCTACCTATGACAGATTTTTCTTTCTTGCTCATAATACATTTTGGTTTATTTCACAACAGTCCAAGTACAATATTAATTTTCACCTTTTGAAAAGAAATATTATTTCTTCTGATAGTTCATATAAAATTTCGGTAAAATTGTAAAGGATTGAAAGAAAATTTTTGTTCAGGATCATTTATTATGAAATAAGGAAACCACTGCGAAAAGGCTTTGTCTTAAAACTGTTAGCTGATCCAAATATCTTGAAAATTAATTAATAGAACAATTGAGCACACGTTTTAAAAAGGACAAATTGCGTTAAATCATTACACAGGTTTTGGTGGTAATACGGTGCACTTTGGAGTAGAAAACTAAGCGATGTAAGGGGTCTTAAATTATTCTTAATATTGCAGGAGGTTAATAGATTGCTAAAGGTGCATTTGAGCTAACAGTTACATTTTAGAGCGGGCTTAGAAGATACAATGCGCAATCCGATTAAACACTCTCTTTACAACATCACTGGAAATGATTTTCACCTTGGTCAAAACGGCAAGTTTTTTGTCAAAATTTGTGTTTGATGTTGCAAGAGTCCAATTCAACACTCAGTCTTTATCGAAAATGATAACTACAAAAATATTCACTTAGAGCACTGGTGGCTCAGGGATAAAGGGTTCGCCTTCCAATGAAGTGAACCGGATTCAAGTTCCAGCAAAGGCTGGTCGGTCTACAGGGATGAATGTCGTTATAAAAACGGGAGAATTGTACAATTCTATATTTGGCCTATATTAGTTGAGTAAAGGCTATAAAATATCGGGTCAATCGGACAATTTTAAGTAGGGTTTATGTTGGCTAAATAACGGCTATAAAACATCGGTGCCAACATTTTAACAAAACATTTTAAGTGCGAGTTGTAACTGTTAATAGGTCAAACAACAGAAATTGTGAAAAAAAAGTCTAATTAGTCAAAGGAAATACGTAACTCTTGACAAATATTTCAACTGTATTTCAGAGATACTCAAATTTTATCGAATGATGAGCGAAATTCAATTAAGGCTGGTTCTTCCAAAAAAATTAAATCTTAGCTTTTATTCAAACCTTTACGAAAATGGTACTCAACAAATGTATTTAATTCATGAAATATCAATTTCATAAATATTAACTTTCAATTGTTTTATTCCTACAAACCCCCAATATTTTGTTAAACATTACAAACACACTTGCTTATTAAATATTACAAAAATAATGATTTTAAAAGAAAGAAAACTTTTTCAATTATTTAAAAAAAAAAAAATAGCATTTTTTGATTGAAATCTTAAACAAGCCCCCAAGTGAAATCACATGAAAAAGTAACTGTTTTGATTTTCTGAAACACTTTATTTGAAAGCATTGCAAATATCAACATTTTGCTCAGGTATGTTAAATTTGTATATCCACAAAAATAAATCATATTTTAGTAATTATCAATTATTCCAAATAGAAAATGCATTATTATTTTTTCTAAGGTCATACAAGTAAAAGCTTTTTATTTATTAAGGACATTTTTTTATGAAACTTTAAAAAGGCTGAAATATGTGTAGAAGACATGATGGCACAGTGCTTAGAACACTGATCTGTCTCACTTTTGTGTCAACCAAATATGTAAACACACACAGCTTCATTATAGTAATTTGTAACATCATTCTAAATTCTGAAGTTAAAAATTGAGGGTTGTTTTATTTGAATTTTTGCACAAAGTTTTAAAATTGTACTGAAATGTCATTTTAATATCTATTAACAAATTCAGGCAAAAAAGTATGCATTATTGATTAAAAAAAGTAAAATTGGAAAATTAAAAGACTTTATCCCATAACATGAATTTTCAAAGGAAAAATATTTTTTAAAATGGTTATGAAGATAGATTAAGATTTTACAATTCCGCTTCGAAATTCCCTTGTTAATGATTGCTCTTTTTTCGAATGTTATTATACGGAAAATTGGGGCAATATAATAAACCAATTTTTTTTCCAAGTTGTTCAAGAGAGTATTTCGGGAAAAAGAATATGTTTTGGAGCTATCATCTAACTGAAATGCTATAAATTTGTCATTGAAACTTGTATCTATCTGGAAACAGAGTCGCTTTTAAAAAAGTGCCACTTATCACTATATTGCATTAAGGCCTTTTACATGTAAAGATATAACTCCAAAAAACATTTTAAAAAAAATAGGGTACAAAAGTTTTTAATTTTGTTTCTGACAATAATGATTGCAAAACCAACCCATTTCACAAAATAAAAAATGATCTAACTTGGACAAAAAAAGCTTATTAAAAGAAAATTTAGAAGCTTTTAATGATTAAAATTCTTTCACATATTGTTTTACTTCACAAAAAATGTCATGAGAATTAATATATATGAAACGTATCCCAGATATTATTGAATTCGGTTAGATTCAAGGTTAAAATTCTCTTTTCATATAAGTTTTAAAAAGTGTTAATGCTTAAAAATAAATAACTATTTTATTACATAAAGGAAGAAAAAAAAAGATATGTTATTATTCATGATTGTTTTATCTATAAATAACAGAGATTACAAGGTAATGTACAATAAAAGCATACTATTGTTAAAAACACCTTTAATAAGATTAAAATAGCATAACTAAATAAGAAAAGTCTTGAATAAAGGCCAAATAAATCCTAAGAAGTATTTTTTCATAGTTAACGGAGGGATTTTCACTAAATAATTCCAATAGAAATATCATATTTTTATCCCTGAAAACTATATCTTCAATAAACGTATAGAGATTTGATTTAACATTTTAAACATTAGTCAAAACAATTCTCAATAACTATCAATTTTAGAACTGATTTTCAGGAAATTTTGATCAAAAAGGGTTTTAGACATTACTTGGGCAGAAGACTGAAAAATCAATATCTAATCTTATCATAAGATTAAATATTTAAGGTTACTGACAGATCTGTAAAGCTTAATTCACACAAGTAGACAAGAAAAAGAAAAATATGTGAAATGAAGAATTTTATTCCAAATTCATTTTATAAACTTTCTGTTTCAAGTATACAAAGTGTCTGCTTTCAGTCAAAATAAAGTCAAACAACTACAGTTCCTTATAATGAATTTGAATTTTTAAAATAAATTAATGTTTTAAACAAAAATAAGATACATACACAGTTGTTAGTTCTTTTTTAAAAAAAAATGTTCTGTCGTAGAAGGGGAAAATATAAATTTTAACAAGTGCTGCAACAAAACCAAAAACTGCAGCCTAAAGGCTTAGCAGTTTCCTCAGCCCGTTTGAAATCGGGAGAGTTGGCTCAACAGCAGCTACCTGTTGTAAAGCTACACCCTCTGTTTTAATGCAATCAAATCACAGCATAGTAACAATTACAATAGTATTCTCAAATGTTGTTAATGACATGACAAGCAGGCAGTCTATTTTGACTCAAAATAATGAGGCTCCTTAACTGTTAGGCAGAAACTGTTGCTTCATTTGAAGAAGCTTCTACTGGGGAGGAATTCTCACATTTAACAGCAGCCTAAAGGAAAATAAAAAATATTCAATCAGATCTTCAATATATAGCCACACAATAAATAAATAAAACACCATTGTTATTGTAAAAGATTGAAAATCAATTGTGGCATTAAATGTATCAATTTTATTTTTTACTTTAAATAAAAATCAATAGTTTAATAAATGTTGAAAAATTTAAACAAGAGTTGTTATGTGCTGTAAGCATGTTCTGTTTTAACACTTCACTGTTGAACTATTTATTTTGAACAAAACTGAGCAATTTGAGAAAATGAATTCTTCAATTTTTTTTAAAAAAAAACTAATATTTTAACAACGATTGTAATTTAAAATAATAATGATTTATTACATTTTTCCGTTAAAAAAATATCATACAGATTTTAAGCACATGTTTTCAAAGAGTAACACAAAGATGTTAAAAATTTGGGTTCCTTATTAAACACTAAAAAGGTCCATTTTGTGCCATGTCTATTTTCAGTAACCCAACCCCAATTTGAGCTACATTTACTTTTATAAACACGTATCTTATGCTATGTCCATTTTCTTAACTTTAAATTTCGAGTAAGCCATTTTACAGATGAATTATTAAAGATTTATACGGAAAAAAAAACTTGTAGCAACCAATTAATTAAAGACAAAGCGCTCGTCCCTCAATGAGGTGCCCTGCGTTTGAAGCCAAGTGATGGCTGGTCGGCACGAATTCTGCTCATACCGACCAAACAGTGATGAAAAATATCCCTACTGGTAGAGGGATTAGGGGTTAGAGTTTCATTGCCCTCACGTTTACCGTGGGTTTTCCTCTCATCTAATGCAAATGCGGGTTATTCCTTAAAAAAGTCCTCCACGAAGACCAATTTCTCCCAATACTTGATTCAGGAGTTCTCAGCTTTTAGATTGGGTTCAAAATTATTTATAAGGCTTTGGAGTTGAATATTTGTAAGTCGCAAACTTAAAATTGAACTGGCTGTTCAAAAACAATTATAAAAGTAATCATTGCTATCTGTGAAAATATATTGAGTTAGATCCCCAGGGGGAAAAAATTAATGATGATACACATTGGTGATTAGATTACCATGAAATGTCTAACAATATGGAAAACTTTTCAAACAGGAAGGAATTAAAACAAAAATTTAGGGAGATTTTTATGAGGAAAACTATTTATATGAGAAAATAACTTTATAAAGAATATTTCTTATAATTCTGAAATGCAGAAATTCATGCAGCTGATTTTATTATTTTGTATTATTATACTTTTTTTCTTCTTTTTACAGGTTCAAATAAATTTAGCAATATTTCCTCCTTTTACTGCATTGTTATTTACCTGTTCTGTCGGCGTTTGATCATTGGAGTAACCCTCATTACTTGCTTGCTGAGAGTCACTAGGCTCACCAGAAGATTGTGGTACAGAAGAAGGAGAAACATTCACACTATTAGAATTTTCATTGGCAGTCGCAGTCTCGTCCGATTTAGACTCCTCTGCTCCACCCTCATAATCTTGATCTTTCCTAGAAGGACCACCTTCAGAAGATCTACCTCTAGGGCGATAACCACCACGAGGTCTTCTGCGATTCATGCGTGGTCTGTATGGTGGACGTCGGTAGCCACCCCTCCTGTTATCCCTGTTTTGTCGTTGGTTATCTTCATCAATATCCTATAAATATTTATAAGTCAAAAATTTTTAACAAAATACATTTCAATATAAACACCTTAGCAATAATAAACGTGATAAACAGAAAAAGTCAAAATAAATGTGAAGTTTTTACTCTAAATATACAATTAAATTAATAGTGAAATCACAAAAAATCTTGTAAAGAGCTGCACCCTAACAAGCGTAATTAAGCTACATCAGAGAAAATATAATAACATTGAAAAAAGTAGCCAAAGTAAAGAAAACAAACCTTATTATCTCCCTCAACCCCACTCTGACTACCTTCAGTATCACTTCTGGGACGGTTGGGTCTGCGCTGCTTGAAATAACTTCGAGTAAATTGGCGTGTTCCTCGCCTATTTCCACCTCTTCCTCTCTGAACTCTTTGATTATCTCTCCTTTCATGAGGCTCCTATCAAGATAAAAGGAACTTTAATTTAAAAATAAGAGCAAATTATATAAAACTAGTGACAGGCTCATTATTGTTAACTTGCTGGTTATTTTCATATTTCTATAAACGAATTAGAAAATAGAGGAAATAGTCAAATATCTTGAGATGTACACATTGGATCCCAAAATACATAGGTAAAACATTTTCTGATGAGGCAATGAATGATAAGAAACTTTTTGTATTTCATTTCAGCTCTAATCACATTTTAATTTGGTTTCATTAGACAGGTTTTTTTAAAAATACAACCAAATCTATCAAGCTGGAAATTTTTTGATACTCAAAGAAAAATGTTTATTTGAAGTTTCTATGCACTCAATAATAATAAAAAATTTTTTTCATTGAATTTGAACTTGAAATTTTCCTCCAAAATATATATATTTTTTAAAAAAAGTTAAAAATCACAGGAAGTTTTATATATAAATAGAAAAGGTATTCAAAAATATATTAGAAAACCCTACATAAATATTTAAGTAAAGGAGATTAATTGCTGCAAACAAATACCATGAAAACTTAATTTTGTTAACTCACAGAGAGTTAAATATTTCGATTTTTTGCTCCCTTATCTCTTCACAGTTAGTTGTCACTCATATGCAGTAACTGACCAGTAAAATTACTTTAAGTGATTTTCATCAACATTTGATTGATGAGTCACAAATAAAACTTTGATCACGTTCTCTGCAATGTTACAGCTTGGTTTATTATCATTGTTTATTATTGAGAAACTGCATCCAAACTTCCTATAATATCAAATTCTCCAATTAATTTAAAAAAAGAGCTGATTATGAAAAAATATATAATTTCTTATCTGCTGAAATTACATTGGATTAATATAATTAAAAGTAACAACGTTTTTAAAATATATAAAATATTGTTCCTTTTAATTTGTTTGCATACAATTAGTTTGTTTACATTGCCAATTGGGCCTGAAAACCAAATATGTAAAGAAAATTAACTATTATAATTACAAACTCAGTAAGAAAGCTGTGATTATAGTTAATCTATTTTAGAAATACGATAACTTGTTTCTTTTTTTGGCTTAAATATATTTGTAAAGATGACATGGATTTGCAATACTATATTTTACAGAAAATTCATACACTTCAAAAAATTAAGCTAGGGTAAGAAAAAAGAAGTCAATAAAATGATAATCAACACAACTGCTGATAAAAAAACCTCAAAATTTCCTTCATTTCCATCAGGATCTATATTCCTTGGTGGCCCTCTTTGGGGACCTCTATAATATTGCCTAAAGAATGGACGTCTAATTTGCCGACGCATTGGTCTTTGCATTTGCTGTTGTTCACCATCCAATTCTTGGCTCTGACTATCTTCTCCACCATCAGTTTGCTGTTACACAAACAAATAAATAAATTAGGAAATACATTTAAAAGTTCAAATACAATGTTTAATACATGATGGATAAAATTTATTAGTATGCAATTAATACTCTATTGCCATAACAGGGATCCTACTAGTTCTTCAAAAAAAAAAAAAANAAAAAAAAAAAAAAAAAATGAGTAAGAAAGGATTGATGAAAAATGGTAGGAAAATCGGAGAGAGAAAAAAAAAAGTAAAGGCATGTCCTTTACCTATTTTTCAAGAATCTTAAGATTAAACATTTTATTATGAACACAGAATATTTATACTAAATGGAAATAATATAAGAGAATTATATTGTGAATTCAAATAAACAGAAATATCTATTAAAAAAGAATAGATTAGTAAAAAAGAAAATTATCTATAACCAATTATATTTTAATCAATATATTTATATATATATATATATATTAATNCCTTACTATGTGTTGTATATTGTGGGTAAGTTTCATAAAATTCCATGTGTAATTTCTTGAGTTATCGCGATTTTTGTGAATTTTCCTTAATTTATGATAACCAGTGTATATTAATCAATTAGTGAAAGTTTTAATAACTTGAAAAGGAAAATAGTGTGAGTATGGGACAGAATCTTTTGACACAAATATAATTTTATGAATAACATTTAAAATTTATACAGCAGAATTGACTATTAGAATTACTTTTAACTAATTAGTTTTAAATCACATGAAACTGCTAATTTCTTTTCCAAATTTCTTTTAACTGAATTTTAGAAATACTGTCTGTTCTGTGTTCAATATAAATTCCATAAAGTAATAAAATTAAAAACCTTATTTTGAAGAATTTTGGTTGATTTCCTGAACACATTTAAAGACTCACTTAGTGATAGTTGCGACAAACACACACACACAAATAAATAAATAAATGGGTGATAGAAAGTAAAGCTTAAATTATCCATAAATGTAGAGTAATTAATTATTTCTGAAGAAACTTTTAAACAAAGATACATCAAAAGACCATAAAATATTTCTTATTTCTATCTTTCATTTTATTTAATCGAAATGAAAAAATTATTTCAATTTTTATTACTATCTGCAGTTACCATATATTCCAGCAAATAAAATTTAAAAAAAAAAATAAAAAAAAAAAAAAAAAAAAAAAAACAGTGTTAATTTATACATCATTAATAAAGTTTATACTGACTATATAATATTTGCTGTTCATGAAATATCAATGCATTTTATAAACAATAAAATAGATATGATTAACTCTGTACCAATTTATCCCATCACATTTTCTTTAATTATAAAGGATTTTTAGAAACATAGCTTTAAGTTTATGTTTAAAAAAAAAAAAAGATAAGTTAAGGTGATTTATTCAAAAGTATTTCAAAAAACACAGTGAAACTTTTAAAACATACCATAAAACTACAAGTTTAAAGATTCTCATACATCATCTTTGTCAAAATCAATGATGTTAGCAATATCGTCATATGGACCCAACTCTGCTAAAGATTCTGCTCAGTCCCACAAAAAACAGTCTTCATCTCCATCCAAAGAATTAGAAAATGCCACACTTTTTCTCGCATCTCGTATCATTTGACTGGTTGCCTCACAGCATCTTTATTTAATGGCAAATGTATCACACCCAGTAACAAAGTAAAATATTTTTAACTTGAGAAAATTTTGTATGCTTGATAATGTTTTTATCTTTAGAAATTTTCATAATTTGTTTTTTCAGTCGACTTATACACCCGACATACCAGAAACTTGCAAATTTATGATCAAAAATAAGGGGTCAACATATTCATCAGGATATATTCTAATTTTTTTTGGCTTATGATTATCATATCACTATGCTAAGTGCTGTTCTATACTCGTTTTTATTAAAAATGATAAACTACAAAGAACCAATTGAAAACAAAATTAATGCTTGATATTAACTAGCATTTCAAATAATTCTGCATCTCCCAATTGAAAATGAAAAAAGTGAAAAATATTTTGAAGAGAAGAGAAACAGTGTTCAATACTTTCTCTTAAATGCAAAGATTATTTAAACATTCAAAAAACTTATACAATCTACAATTTAGCCAGCTTATTGGCGAGTTGAGATAGACAAATTTTAAATAAAAATCAATATTTCTTGTACTTTACTTACTCTACTCTTCCAATTTAGAATTTTTTGTTTATTCATAAAGAACAAACCAGACTTCAGTAAAATGAAAAAATAAAATGACTTCTCTCTTTAGCAAAAGATAAAAGAAAACAACTCAAATAATTTTCACTACAGAACATTCTGAACAAAAAGGAGTAAAATTCAACCTTCGACAACTAATCAATGATGCCGTTTTAGATGTGATCATCACAAAGGTAAGACTTTACCTTCAATCTCTTCGCAATTCATATTCAGTATTCTTATTAAGTGTTCTTGAATAGCAAAACGCCCTACTTGCCCTTTGATCCCAATAGATGCGTACTCTTTGCTCTTCTTGTAAAAATAAGCCCAAATCCCTTAAAAACACTGCCTTTTTACTCATATTCCATATTGAAAAAAAAAAAAAAAAATTATTCACTGTTTAAATAACAACACAGTTGTCAAATTATCTGTGTTTATAAGTTTAATTTTGATTACTATTACAAATATTTACTTGGTTAGGATTATTCTTAACTGGTTGAATTTTTAGAAGTATCCTTTTTTGTGGAAGGGTTTTAATAAGTTTCATGTGATTTTAAATTTTAAAACTATTTTTTAAATAAAAAAAATTAAATTACAGTTGTTATCAATCATTTTTTGTTAGTTTACCTTTTTTTGGAGAAAAAAAATAGCAAGTCGTTAATAATTTTTATAAATTACAAATTTTTCTCTTATTTTGATAAGAGATTTCCTTTTTTAATTATACACATAAAATAGTATGAGAGGGTAATTTAAAAATTGTTGAGGATAAAATTCAGTTATTACATAATATTACACATTTTGATTAATTTTAACAGAGTTAAGTGAGTGGCCTTTCAAAATTCAAAGCACCCTTTTCAGAGAGAAAGCTTCCGTCTGAATAGATTCTTTCATCTGTATAAAAAAAAATTAGGCAGTTTCTAAGAGCTTAAAAGTTCTAAGGGCCCTAATTTTTTGTTTTCAAAATGAAGGAATTTTTAAGGACTGTATAAAAGTTTAGTTATCAACAGTTACAGAAACCAATAACCTTTGATAATTTAAAAGAAATCTGGTTAATTTTATTCAATCAGAATTTTTTTTTAATAAGATTTACAATTTGCTATTATTGCTTAATGCCCCAGTTTCTATCAAATAAAAAAAAAAAGAAACAGATTTTTTTTAAAAAACTTATTTTTGAAATTATTGGTTAATTGGTTAAGGCGCTTTCACTTTGTATAGATTTATTCCATTAGGGGAAGAAAAAAAAGAAAACACTTTTTATTTAACCTTTCATAATAATGCAATTTAAAATTAATAAGAAAAAACTTACGCGGGATCTAGGGACATATTTTTTCCTAGGAAACCAGCGTCCTCTCATACGATTCCTGTCTGCAGCATAAGGACTACCAGCTACTGGAGCTCCATTTGGTCCTGTTACATTAGCAGCTTCATTACCTTTCTCACCAACTACAACGTCAAATTCTACAACCTCACCATCACCAACACTGCGAACAATTTTTTTAGGATTGTTTTTCTTTATAGCAGTCTAAAATAAAACATAAAAGAAAAATAAGTAAATTATAAGTAGGAGTTCATTAAAAAATAAAATATACTTCTACAGCAATAACACAGTTAAACTTGTAATTAGAAACCTCATTAATGCAAATTTTTTACTAAGTTAAAATCAAAACTTGCCTTCGACAATTTTCCATTTAGACCATGTTAATGAACTTCAAAGTTTTGAGTATTTATTTTGATAACTTTTTATTTTTTTCCCTTATGACTTTCTACTGAAATAAAAAATGGTAATATATTGAAAAACCAAGTACTTTTCTTCCAGATACTGCTATTTTTAAAAAACTTTTCTTTTTACATAAAAGAAATGAAATTTAATTTAAAAACTTAGTCATTAAAAATGTTACTTGAGAGCATGATAACTAAGCTAAGCATGATAACTTAATAGCAATTCTTTTTAGGGGGGGGGGAAGTGAATTTTTTTTGTATTTGAATATTTAAACAACTTATTAAATTGTTTAAATATTCAAAACAAAACTTATCTAGTTTTGTCAAAAAACACAACTATGTCTTTAAAATTAATTGTAGTTTCAAAATTAAAGCATCAGTGAATCAATTTTTTGAAAGAATTTCAAGAACGGTCCCTTTTCAAAATTAAAAACAATGTGAATGGTCTATTTTAAGATATGCTATAATTAATTATAATATGCTATAATTAAATTATTCCAAAAAATTAACTTAGAACTTAGAGCATGAAAATATTTGTAAAGTATCCATAAACAGACCCAAATTTCCTCTAAACGGAAACTTGGTTAAATAATTTTTTTCTTACCTTACCAATCTCTTAATATTACATTTCAGAATTTTTTGTTATCAGGAACTTATTAAATTTAATAATGGAGGAAAAAAAAACATCTAACACCTAATGTAATTATTTATCACATCACAAGGTACAAAATTATTGCATGACTTAGTGACTTAACTTAACCCTTAAGGGACCACCGGTGCCATATAGGCAGGGCAGCAAAAACCAATAATTTACTGTTGTTTTATTGCCATATTTACAATTAGCTTAATTATAAAAATATAACAAAAATTATAATTAATATTATATAATTAAGTTCAATGGTTCCCCAGCCTATTAAAGGACAAGCCCTACTGTGCACACCTCAGTTTCCTTGAACTTGATATTATAATTTTACTTGGTAGGAAGTAAATTTTGCAATATCTCTGTACCATTATGGGTTAAGGTTTCGGTAGATCACTAAAATTAAAATTTTAAAAACTTCAAAAGCTGATACACACCTGATGAACAAAAATATCTTCTTTGGTATCACTCCTAAATAAAAAGTGAAAAAAAAATTACTTTCTTAACAAAATGAGTATTTACAATTAGCACGGTCATAACACGCTATAATTTGAATAATGTGCAAAATACAGTTTTAAGTATTTTTCATAAAGAATATTATAAAATACTGCAAATTAAACTTATATAGAAATAAGTATAACATAGTTACAAAGTATTTTTTTAGTAAAAAAATTTTAACTGTGTGATAAAAGTAGCAATTTGTTATCTCCTAAAAGATAACCTAACTATAATTTAGCCACAAATAGAACTAAATTTAACAAATATATACATACTATTATATGAATTGGTTTATTAAGAGTTTGTAATTTTGGAAATTATATTTTAATATTTAATGATACCACCAGCAAACTATATATAAAAAAAAAAAGGAAATAAAGATTAAAAAAAAAGAAAAGAAGCTATGCTTGTAGTTATTAAGGTTGGGTTTTTGACATGATGCATCAAAAACCTGGTGCAACTTTCATTGGAGATATTTTATTTGCAGTCAAACTACAGAAAATGATTTATTCAAGTACAATATTTGCATTATTAATTCTACTATAATAATGACTTCGATTCTAGCCAAAATTATTAAAATTAACTGCTTTTTCAAAACAGTGCTATTTATACTTTATCATCAAAAGTGTCATATATGAAACAATTTCAGTTTATATTACCTATGAGTTATTAATTATTATAATTCTAAATATACTAATTAGTTCTACCAAGCCATAATTTAGGCAGATTTTTTTAGCTTAGGCAAAACTAAAGTGATTTCTCAAAAATAGATGTCAACTTTTAAAATTCTTTTAGATTCTCAATATTTATTGATGCTTATATGTACATGAACATTACCCTATAAATCAGGATTATAATATATTCCTTAATAAGTAAACTAATTATACTTTATACAAAATAAATTTAAATATTTTTTTTACATATATCATGAATAACTTTTAAAATAATTTTGTTTTAAAATAAAATTGATGTTTAGTGCCTTACATACAATAAAGTTAATGCAACCAAGAAAATGGGGTTTATAAAATAGCAATATTTAAAAAAAATATATACAGTGGAACCCCGATTGTACGTTGTCCGTTATCCCGCTTCTTGCGTCATTTTCTGCTGATCCGTGAAAATTGCCTATACCGATAACGTTAAAAAATCCCGGATTTTGTATTACCCCTTTTATGAAAATCCCGTTTGATACGTTTTTCTACCAACAGATCAAATTAATTTTTTTTTATTCTACAACTCTCACACAAACTTTTTTCTAGTTTTTTGAGCAAGAAAAACTTGCTTTTCAGCTGCATGGAGCGATTCTTGCATTCTTTCTGTTCCATTTGTCAATAGGGGGGTGGGGAACAACAATAAAAACTACATACATAAAAATTCTAACACAATTTTTACTTGCAAATGTAAATCAAGAAGTAAATTTGCAAAAAATTGTTAGTATTGAACGAGTTGTAGATGAAATTGTAGCTAAAAACAAAGAGGAAGTGAAGATTACTAATCTTTTCCATTAATTTAACTGGTAGGTGTCAATTTTTAAAAATATGCATAGATTTTTCGTAATCCCGATTTTACGTTATTCCGGTTCGAGCGTTTTTTATCGCTAGTCCGACCGAAAACGTAAAATCGGGGTTTCACTGTATATATATGAAAACTGGAATTCTTAAAATTTAATAAATGATAGATTATTTTAAGTATGCATTTTTCTTTTCACCATTGAAGTTACTTTTAAAATAAACAACAGTTATGAATTTGCGTTGCAAATAAAGCAATAAATAAAAATAAGAGTTACGTACTAGCTAACAATCAAATTTAAATTAATAATTCAATACTAAAGTGGTCGTAAATAGATTAACTGCATTAGTAGTAAAAATTAAGCAGCCTCTTTTCAGAAAAAAATAATAGCCACTTTTAATGTCTAGTCAGATCGCCAGCACCCAATATTAATTTTTTTAAGAAAATACATAAAGTGAACTACACTTTTAAAAATTATTGAAAATAAATTAATTTGGTACATTTACGTGGCATTACATCCATCCTTCAGATAGAGCAGTAGAATCTGAAATTTTGCTGGGAACATACTTGTAGAAATTTTTATAAATTATATTTTTCACAATTCAAAATTTAATATATTTTGATAAATAAGGACAATGAAGACAGTATTTAAAAATTCAGTGCTTTCTTTAAAATTCATTATTTAAATTTATAACATTTTATTGATAAAAATAAACAAATTAGCATCCAATTTAATAATCAACATATGCAATAATATTTTTGAAAGATAAAATACATTCAATTCTTTCTACTTTTTCTAACATACTAACTAAGGAATTATATTTAATATTGTGATTTTTCGTTCTGACAATACTTTATCCTATTATTGGAGCAATTTTATATAACTTTATACATACCTTATAACAAAGTTAAATGAAAATATGATAAAACAGCACATCAATTTTAAGGCTACTCAATGAGAATTTAAAAAAAAAAATACAATTATTTGTACTTATTTTCTATCCTCTAAAATTAGAAACCCTTTCAACCTTTGCTATTCATTAATAGGTTATTTAACTTTTTTGAAGAAAAAAAATTTTAATAAATACCATACATATCAAAATCAATGCATATAAAACCTGAAAAGAATTAAGAATTCATAAAATACCTGTTAATAAATCCATAACCATTTTTCACATTGAACCATTTCACAGTTCCTTGTACTTTAGTAGCTAAAAAATGTTAATTTTAATAAGATTTTTTATGCATTTTTCAAAGCAAAATTCATATTTACTATGCCAATAAAAAAAAGTGTCATTTTACAAGCTAAAATTTTTAACCAATACATTTTTTCCGGCAGAAATCACTTAATTTGAATTTAGTAATGCTGTTTCTTTCTTACTTGAAAAAAACTTACTTGAGAAATACAAATTTACTAATTTTTGAAGACATGAAAAAGGCATCAGTTGCAGAAACATAAACACATCATACAATATTTTAATGACACTGACATTTAATTTTAGGAAGAAAAAAAATCCCTGATATTTCCAAGCATTTCAGGAAAATTTCAATGTAAATCGAGACCATATTTTATCTATGCCAAGGAATTTTTTATATGAAAACTCAAATATTATATTTTGTGAGGAAAAAAAATATCACTGAAAGAAGATGGAAACATGGAAGAGTTTCACTAAAAGGGTATTAATTTTTACTAAAGATAATTGTATAAGATATTGGAATTATTTTAGTAAAGTATGAAATCAAGGTATGAAATATTGATCTAAGCAAATTTTTAGAAAAACATTGTGTCCCCTGGTGCTGCTTTTGCAAACATACACCTTTAAAATTTTCTATTACCAAGTTTCCATTAGAGAGAATCTATTGCAGAGTTTTTTTTACTTATTTAAATACCAAATAAAGAAAGGGTAAACCAAATAATTTGGAATTTGATAAATTTACTAATTTAGAGCATTTCAACTGAAGACAAAATAAAAAAAGAATGAGTGAAAAAATGTTTTTAAGTGAATTTTTAATGATATATTTGGCAGCAGCTTTTTTACTGAGGGTAGTTAGTTACTTTAACTGCATTCCAGTATATATCGTAAGTCAGAACAAAATGGGATCCACTTGAAAATGTGACCATGAAAATGTGAAATAACAATTTGGGAAACATATTAAAAGTTTAGAAGCATAAAATTTTTATATAAATGAGATATTCTCCAGAAAAAGTTTAAGAAATAAGTCACGAGTAGCACAATTAACACATTCATGACATTTTTACAAAATTACATTTGGCTTTTTTAATTCTGTTAGTTCAAATTTTACTTTCTTTTTGATAATTGGGCTTTCACTTTTTCGCTTTGCATTTGCACTTTGCTCTAGGATTTGATTTCCACTTAATATTCTCCAATATTACTTTAAAAACAATATTCTACAGCCATAGTATGGTTCTAACTTTTAATTTATAATTCCGTATAAATTAATAATAACTCCTGGTTCTTTAAGTTCCAGTTGAGAAATATCTTGATCTCCCAAATTTGAATAAAAAAATATTTTAAATAAGGTTGCTGTTTGTTGTATTAAGTATCTCTTAGACATGGAGCTAAAACAAAGCAAAATTTATAAATGACACAAATAAAATAAAAAAACGAAATTTTTCTTAACTCACTCTTTAAAAAATTATTTATGATAGAAGTAAAATAAATCATAAGAATCAGAAAGGAAAAACTATCAATAGTAAGAATCTATACAATTGCTGGGAATGCATTGAAAAACCTTCCAAATTAAACTCTGTAATTTTCAAATAGCTCAATTAAGTATTAAAATTCATTCCCTTCCCTGAAAACTATTATCTTATAAAAAAAAAGAATTTATTTTTGATGGTTAGAATTTCACCCAAAGAAAAAAAACAGTGAGTATGAAACAGTAGACAACTTGCTACTTTCCAAGTATTCTGCCTCCATCATTTTGCAATCAGCCTCCAACAAATTCATGTCAAAAGAAGTTGAACCTAAATGAATATCATGCATCACACCTTTTCCCATTGGAACATTATTTAACTTTAATAACTGTCATAATACCACTTCAATGTGGTGCACACAACATAACCCAATGCATCATTTGAAATATAAAAATAGAATCCTTGAAACATCAATGTTCCAAAAATGAAACATAAGGTTTAAAATAATATTTAGGCTTAAAAATTTAAATGCTGATGAAATTTTGAAGCTCATTGATAACAGAGGGAAATATAGACCTTTTAAAACCTTGTAAGAATTGAAGTCATATTATAAAAATAGGATTTTTGGAAAATTATATTATAAATAGGATAAAATTTTAAATTATATCGAATTTCTAAAATTCATAAAAAAAAAATCAGGTAATTAGGGAAACTGAACCAAACTAAATTAAAAAAATAGTTTATAATGTAAATTTTAAATTGACGAAATATAATATTTTGTCTTTAATTGCTCATTAATTTTATATTCTATGTCCAAGTTCTATTTTTGGAACATTGGCATGTAAACAATTAAGGAATTGCCTTGTTGTTCTTTTCAAAACTATCTGCGCGCCAGTAGAAATAGTTAAGTTATGTTCAGAACAATTAATTACCAAGTACACAGAATTGAAGAATATCAGATGCAAGACTATTGTGTTTTAGAGTCGGTTTTGAATAGTGCTTAAGAAGGGGATATTTCCCATTCTTGATGTGTCGCGCCAACTACATTCGCCAAGGTGCAAAATAAAATTTAAACTAGTAATTAAAAAAACAAGTAGACCCTTGCCCGGGGGTGGCTAGGAGTTATAACCATTCTGTGATGTTTTCTTAGTTTCTAAGTACAGTGTTTTCATCGTGCAGAAAAAAAATGGGTGAGAATTTCTCACCTTTTCTAAAAAACAGGGTGAGATTTCAAAAAGTTAAGTGAGATTTCTAAAAACTAAAAAAATACAAACTCTTGAAAAAAAATCATTTCTTTAATTATAATAAATTTTAACTTCTTCTATTTTTTAAAGCATTCAATATTTTTGGTGCATCATCATAGAAGATTTTGCCTTTTCAAGGTATTTGTCCATATTGCACATAAAAAATTTGAACACCATACGTGAAGAAACCTTACCTACGATAAACACGTGGATGCAGAGAAATGTGTTCTGAAAGGGGTTTTCGCGGTTGTGTCCAGTTGTTCGAAAAGGTTCTGAACAATACTGGTAAATAGGAAAGCTAGATAACGAGGCAGATGTTGAAAATATTGAAAGATCTAGGAAGAAAAGTAAAATGGATTTTATTCTACATGGCGTAATTCGAAGCTTTTTCCAAAATGCGAGAAATTCGCGAATTTTGAAATTGATTTATAGAATACACGAATTTCCCGCGGTGATAATTTTTTAATGCGAGAAAAGAAACAAATATGCGAGATTCTCGCGCTTTAGTGAAAACACTGTAAATACTAAGGCTTGGCGATTATTTTGCCACGGAAATCTCACCCTCAAGAACGCTATGTTGGCTGCAAAAGGGAATAAAAAGTACATTCCTTGGATATTAAAAGATTTAATGTCATTGTGGTACTAATTTTTTAATTAAATGCATTTATTACAGCTAGGCATCCTCGAAACTGTTGATAAATTTAATCAAATTTTAGAGCTATTTTATAGGAAAGAAATAGGATACATGTTTGCAATATGTTTATATTTTATGCCTTTTTTATGGCAACACTTTATATTATAGAATAAATAGGTAGACATGTATAATCATAAAATTGTTACCAACTTAAGTGCAGTGTTAAGAAAGCCGTTGCTTATTTGTAAACATTTTATATAGATCTGCAGAAATAATGAAATGCATGTTTAGCATTGTTAAATGAGTGTTTTGAGTGTATATTGCTATATTTTTAGGAAATTTGAGAAGTAGCAAAGTTGTTGCCTGGAGGTAAACATTTAATAATTTTTTTATTGTCTATACTTGGCAATTTAAAAAAAAAACAACAAAAATGAATTTTTAGTTTAATAGGTCTGCAAATGTTTCTCTACCTCTATAACATATGACAAAAATGGCACCAATTTAAAATGTGGCAAAAATTGCTAAGGATGAAAAAAAATAACCAAAATATAACACCATGCGTAAACAGGATTGTTCTGAATCTTTTCAATGCATCTGAGGGTTTTCAATATTTAACATTTCTGAGGAATTTATGCATCGGTACTTTCTCATGCCAACAAAATTCAGCAAGGTTACACATTTTTAAAATAAACATTCAGTGAATAGTCAGTTATTGTGGTGACGAATAATATTCTTTTCAGTGGATATCCTAATGAGATGCCTTTAGTTACTTACAGGCTAGTGCCTTGAACTTACCAAAACTTGGAGTAAATGCTGATACAAAATTCATTCTGGCATTTTAAAGCAAAGGGTCAGCTTCTCGCAGTTTTCACCACAATTAAGAATATGACCGTTGAACCAATTAACGTTGTGAAACAGAGAACGATCATAAAGTTACAATGTTAAGGAATTCCGGAACGTGTCAAAGCAGAAATTGTTTGTAAACATAAATCAAATGTAAACACTGAAAATTATTAAGCCTATTTTACATGCAAGCAATTTATCAGATTCCTGCAGCCCAAAACCAATCATTAAGCAATTTTTTGAAAATAATATGACCGTTCAACCAATTAACTTTGTGAAACAGAGAACGAGAATAAAATTACAATATTAGAGAATTCTGGAACATGTCAAAGCAGAAATTGTCTGCTGAACGTAAACAGAGAAAGTTAATAAGCTTATTCTACATGCAAGCAATTCAAGTTTCCAGCATCCCAAAACAATTTTTGATAATGAAATGTAAAGATAAACTAGATTATATTTTAATCTAGTAAAATTTTTTAAGCTGATAGTAAAATAAATTGATGCGATAAATTTTACTACAGAAAACTTTGTAATTATGATAAGCCAATTGTTGCATTTCTTTGAATGAAATTCACATACATACACATATGAATTGATAATAGAACTATGAATTAAATTTATTTAGCATCACTTTTTAATTTACACAAATGTAAATGACAATTTTTAGGTTACATTAGACAAATATTAAATTATTTTTCAAACCTACATATTCAAGATCTTTAGTTACCACAAATCGATCAAACACAAAATTTTACGCAAGCAATAGAAAACTAAATTAGTTATATGTAAGTTGCAAGTAGAAATGTATATATTAGTCTGCTACCATAACAAGTACAACATATGCACATTTAGTCTAAAACATTATTCTGTGCTATTAAAATTTCACTATATCAAACATAATAAGATATAATAACAGTTACAAGAAATAAGAAAATTTTAATTCCTGGACTTAATAATAGTTGTTATTGCATGAAACGTGTAATAATATTGCCCACTCACGATTTCTGAATCGAGAGTTGAAATCTATATCGAATTTATGTTATAAAGTGCAGATTATAAAAGACCAGTACTTTTAAATTTTACAGCAAATTGTTAAATGCTTGAAATTTCGAATAAGATAACGTGTTTCTGGCTTAACATATGACCTAATCACTAGTAACTATGAGATTACAGGTATTAGGCCTAATGGTATTCTACACAACTATTTTGTTAAGATTGGTATAATTAATTACCAAGAATTTTTTTCGGGGTGTTGGTAGGCGCAGTGGATGGTGAAAGTTCTTCTTTAGTGTCCGACATTTTTGATGGGACAACAGTTATTCAAATCTGTCGAATCCACACCTTCACAAAATAAACACTCTGATTTTCACTCACGTTTTGATGTTGTGCTGAATGCGATTACAGATAGTGCACACCACACCGGTGGGAAAACAACAACAAAAAAATAAAATAATTTTGAAAGAAGGTTTTCTATTGGCTGATACCTAAACTTTATGTAAGAGAAATCTTCACATGAGAAAATTCCTCGAAAAAATTTTTAATTATTAAATAATAATTTATAAAGGGTCATTGATTTGGTTTCATTTAAATTTTTTTAATTAAAAAAACAAATTTAGTGACTGTAACCTGCATTAAACAACTAAATTTTCCAACGATCCCGTTGCCACCAGCTGAGCACTCTTTTCTATCATCACATGTAAAAAAAGAGGAAGCCAAATTCAATATCATTTAGCTATCTATTTCGCTTTTAAATTTGTCTTATTGATGTAAGTATTTTTCGCTATAGATTTTATTTCTTATAGGTTTCCTTTTTTATGTTAATATTTGAAATGTTAACAAATAATGTTATATAATTTATATCCCGGCATAATAGACTATGTAATGGCCGAAAATAAAGTTAAGCCTTATTCTTGGCACGAGCTGTAATTTTTGGCTGTTTTAGTACTTTTATTTTATCTGTTGTTCAATGCCTAAATTGAACTACTGTCTGTGATTAGATTTTTTTGTATGATTTCTTATTTAAACAAAGAGTGACTCATGCGCGTCTTGTTTGTAGAGGAGATTGCCGCGTTGCACGTTTACTGTTCGGATTTAGGCTTAAAAGTTCAATAGAAGCTTAATCAATTTTAACATTAAGCTCTAATGTTTACGATTGAATTGTTAGGTTGCTTTTTTTCGTTACACGTAGAGCTATTTATTATTTTTTATTCGTTAAATTTAGGAAAATACAATGTATACTTAAGTAATTTCAAATAACGTTTACTTAATAATTAATTGTATATATAAAGTTTAAAAAATAAACAAAGTCTGACTACAAAGTGTGTATATTGATACGTAACCGATCTAATTTTATAAATTTTTTTATCTTTTTCTTTTTTTTTTTGTTGCTTAACGTTAGTTACTTAATGATTAATAAGAATCTTGGCATGTTCTGATCACAGATCTGATCAAAGTTTTGTATTAAATTATACGAATTATATTCCAGGATTGCATATTTTTGTTGATATATAAAAATTTGAACCGGCCTATTATCTCTGCCAACAGTAGTTATTAGAACCTCTTACAAAATTTCATGAACTGAAAAAGAATTATAAGTCTTGACTTTAATATGATGCATGCAATGGCTAATTTTAATTATTCACCTAGAGAAAATTAATTACTTCTTGATGTGGAACATATATTTCAATGTTGAATTTTAAAAGTATTGTTATATAAATGACAGGTCTCTTGACTGTGTTTACAATTGCTTGACTGCTTAAATTATCTCTATTGCTAGCAAATATTGTTGCATATGTTGTTTCTTCAATTTATTAGGTTACTGGGCTTCTGTGGAAAATTTGCCAGTTCTTACTTGTAACAAAAATATTTTTTTTCTACAACTGGGGAAGGGTTAATAAAAAGTAGATTATCTAAATTAATATGAAATTTTGTTATTTTTATGCTGACTGCAAGTGCATAATGAAATAAATGCGAAACCTTCATTATATTCCAATTGTAATATTCATTTACTTCCATTGTTGGTGACAATTACCCTCAATTTTATGCCATGGAAAGGATTACGCATTGATATTCTCACTATATTTTTATTATGCTTCAGGCAACAGTATTTAAATTTAATTTTAAAAAATTCAATCAATCGCAAAAAGTTTCACTCAGGGTGTGGGTGCTGGCACTACTTTTACTCACTAATCACATATCATTGAAGAATTGTACTTCAGAACGTGCACTGTAGTGTCGTACTGTAGTCACCATCAAAAATCAATTATTTTACTCATAGTATGTTGTCTAACTTGAATAATTTAAGAAGAAAGGTAATTTCTTAAATCAGATTAAGCTTCACAACCTAATATGAAATCAATGCTTCCGTATTATCTTAAACCATGAACTCTTATTATGGTGTCAATTGTAGGATAAGATTAAGAAAAGTGAAAGGTTCTGGCCATTTTTCTTGCTTCTAGTTTGAGGGTAGTAGATCCTATTTAGTCTTGAAACATTTAACTAAATATCTAGCTAGTATAATTGATTAAACTTGCGAGTATTGTATATTTTTTATATTTAAGATGTTTTGTTTTCAGTTATTTAAATAATGGAAGGTGAAGAAGAATATACTACCGCTAATGCTGGAGCTTCTGCAACTTACCCCGTGCAGTGTTCTTCTCTTCGAAAAAACGGTTTTGTAATGTTGAAAACTCGTCCATGCAAAATCATGGAAATGAGCACATCAAAAACAGGAAAACACGGGCATGCCAAGGTATACTTTTGATTCAACTTGAGTTTCTGATATATGATTTGTCAACTTTAGTTGTAGAAATTAAATGGTGTCTTTTAAGCATGGGTTTACTAATCTATCTCAATACTTAGTCTGTTTCATATTGTGCATAAGGTTGCTCTGTTTAGATGTAGGGCATTAAAGTACTCAGAAACTTGCTATTTTTGCATTATTTTTTATCTAAGATTGTGTAGAAAGTGTTGATTTATTTCAATCCAGTTGTCTAATTTTATAATTTAACCTAACTGTTTGTCCAATGTTAATAAATTTTTGGTATTTGTTAATATATGGTTAAGTCATTGCTTGTCACTTTAACATATGTGTAAGAATTTATTTTTATAGAAAAGGTCTAATATAGTTATAGACTATTTTTTAAATAAGAATTTTACCATGTAAAAGAAAAGCTCTTGCTTATAGTTGGTACAATGAGTTGACAGGCTTTCAAATGCTAAGCGCGATCAACCAAGGGTTAATGTATAGATCAATGCAAGATAGGTCATTATCTTAATAAATTGTAAAGAAAATATTCTGAAAAGTTTTTTATATTTGTGTATTGTTAAAGCCTTAAATTATCTAATATATACGACATCTAAAGTAAGTGGAGAAAATTAAATATATTGTTTTGTTTTTTTTAGGAATTTTTTTTTTTTTTAAATGCCTATGTATTGTGAATTTTCCTTTCTAAAATCTGGATATGTTTATTTTAGGTTCATCTTGTAGGACTTGATATTTTTACTAATAAAAAATATGAAGATTTATGTCCATCTACACACAATATAGATGTTCCAAATGTTAATCGTTGTGATTTTCAAGTAAATATTCTTTTAAAATATTATGGCTTTTTTTTAATGATTTACATTCTCAATAAGCTGTCAACGTAATAAGACTTTGATTGTGTTTATACATTTGTTCCATTTAACATGTACATAAAAGTTCAATATCCAATTGTTATGTAGATTATGTGATGGTACGAGTTCCTCTTTGAATATCAGTTAAAAGCATTTTTTTTTTTAATATGATAATGACTTGTAAAGTACAAACGACTTGTAAAGTTTTTTTTTTGGAACCTCTTTTATTTGTTGGTGGCCAAAAGAAAAATCTCTTTATATTATATAATTGTTGTGTAGATATATAAAAGTTTTAAGATTTTAAATGGTAAAAAAAAAAAACTTGCAACTTTGAAATTAATATTTAAGAAACTATAAATGGACACAAATTTTAGTAATGATGTATGGACATGAAGTCAGTGGTGTAACATTAATTTTTTTAGCTGAAATGTATCTATACCTTGTATAGATTAATATAACTCTCCTTGATTGTTTTAAGGTACGATTAATTTTTTTAAAAATTTGATTACATTTAAATTAAGTCTATAATAATAAATTTTCTCTAAGAAAAAAAAGTTTAATATTATTTTTTAAGAAAAAGAAAAGTTGGATTAAAAATATAAAGTTGGTGATGTATCCAATTCTTGATTTTTAAGACTGATAATAATTTCTTCTAAGAAAATGTGTGTAAATGGCCATGATGTGCAGTGTAAAGGGATGCAATAAACTAGTATCTATTCAGAAAGAAACATCATGGTTTTTTGGGCGATGAATTGATTTATAATTATATGTATTCAAGAGTAATTTAGTGTGTAATTATCTAAAAAAAAGAAGTTTTACTTTGTTTTGATTCTTTTTATTCCATATTTTTTCACTTATATTTTTCTATTTGCTAAATTTAATGTGTTGAAACTTTATTTTGGAAATATTGATTAATATTTTCACAAGGTCATCTAGATCTGCCTTTTCCCTAGTCCAAAAGTCTGAAGATATGGTATCTCTTAACAATAATCTAGATTTATCTCCATAAAAATACTAAATCTGTCTGTTTTTTTTTTTNTTTTTTTTTTTTTTTTTTTTTTTTTTTTTTTTTTTTTTTTTTTTTAAGCAAGATTTATTTGTTGTGTAATTTTTAAGGCTGATAAAGTTACTTTAAATTTAAAGAATGTTCATATATTAAAAATTTTAGTAATTCAAGAAACTATTTTCTTTGTTTCATATTTCTATATTTATATTGTAGATAATAAATTTGTATCTTTGGATTCTTTCTAGCTTATTGATATTAGTGATGATGGATTTGTGACCTTAATGAATGATAAAGGAGAAACTCGTGATGATCTCAGAATTCCTGAGGGAGAATTGGGTACCAAAATTAGAGAAGAATTTGGCAAAGAAGATATTACAGTTATAGTAAGTTTTTCTTAATTATTGACATACTCTCTTAATGCATAGGTTTTATCTGATAATTGTGTTTAGCCAGGGATACTCGTGTGCAACCTTTGTGAGTGAATAACCGCATATGGCAGGCTGAAAGGTCATGTGCTATAATTTTTATTTGAGCATCGCTTTGAAGGATTAACGCCCGTATTCTCCATTGACCCTAACCCTAAGTCAGAGTCCAAAATTTCATTTCACCGTGTACGTAACTGCGAGTTACTCTAACCCAGAGTTAAGTAACTGTAACCTGAAGATATTCCCGGTTAGAGTAACCGCACATGCGCAGTAAACGAGTGTTTGTTCATTTACTTCGTTTTCTTCGTCTGTATTTTTTATATTTCTGCTCTTTTTCGTTTGATAATTTTAATTGTTTTGAATTTCGATTCTTTTTTTGTATTTTTAACCTGCAGATTTCCCTGGTTTGAACAAATGCGGATATGAAGGAGATTTTTTTATTTATTTATGTTTCCAAAAATAACACTTTTGATATTCCGTTGCTTATGTTCAATGAGGTCAATTTTTTCACTTGATGCAACTATAATTAATTTATATCTTTGCCTTGCATTCAAAAAAATATAGCATACCATAATATTAATAAAATCAAAATTAAATAACACTTCATTTTGATGTTCGGTTGCTTTTTTTCTGTTTAATAAGATCATTTTTTTTTACTCGATGTAACTATAATTAATTTATATCAAATAAATGCTTATTAATAAAATGAAAATTAAATTTTCTTGAATTAGTATCTTCTACAGAAGATACTATATATATTTCTCAAATTATTATTAGCAGTCGTTACAGCACTTAAATAATTTTTCACTCGAAAAAAAAGTCATGGATAATAAAGATTGCGGCTACAATAATTCAAATGAATATTGTAAGTAAGAAGATTGTAAATAATTTAACTAACTTCTACTTATTTTTTTAAAAGAAAGAAAACAATCAATACTTGAAGGAAATATAAAATTTAAAAAAGAATGTAATTCATTAAATGTTTTTAGATTTCGATAATATCTATCGAGATGATAGATCTTGCCCAAAAATAAAAATAGTTTAGAGTTGAACTTCCAAAATAATGTGCAATATTTAGATATGAAGATAACGAAAAGAATTTAAAATTTTTTTAATTCATAAAATAAAGCTATTAATTAAATTTAAAAACATATACATTATTTTAAATATATATTGGAAATTATGCTGAAATAAATATTACTTAATCAATGCAAATTTTGATCCGAGGTAACATTTTAACTACACAATAATTTGCATCAAATAACTTTGAAAATCAGGAAATTTAGAATTTTATAAGCATAAAATAATCTGCTGAATATTTCGAAAAAGTAGGATCATTTGGAAGAGCTTTATTGCTTAAAACTATATGAAATTAAAATGCCCGTCTTTAGTTGTAATTTTTAATATATAGCCTGACTACTTTATGACATATGGGGCATTTATACAACTGATATATTTCCATGTACAATTATTTAAATAATTAAATTTTTATAGGCATAATTCTTTGTAAAATTTTAAAGTTTCGGAATATTTGTTCCGATTATGACATTTTCCTTTAAAAAAAAAAATAGTTTCTTATTCACCAAATCATCGACGTCGATTCTCTTCGTGAAATAAAAGTTTTTTTGATTGAATTTCAGTTACATTTCTATGGTTGCTTGCAGCTTTATGATATCCATAATAATAAAATATCTAAATTCATAATAATAAAGCTCGGATCCTTTTGCTCATCAGTACAAGTCAGTTAGGAAAACGAAACTAAACATATTTTTTATTTGACCAGTAAAAGAGAGATTCAAATTTAATAACTCGATGCAATCTTTTTTTCTTCTTTTAATAGAAATTTTTTATGAAAATAGCAACGAAAATTGAAAACAAACGCTGTTAATACGGATATAAATCTACCTCCTGTAACTAGCAGTTAAGAAACCGACGGTCAAAAAATAATGGTGGAATCGCTTTTGAACTCTCGGTCGAAGTTTCCAAACCGGGGGTTTTGGAACTGGCCGTTACGCGTTAGGTCAGAGTCAACGGTGAATACGGGGGTAAGTGTTTAAAGCACCTGAGTGCTTTGCGAATATTGAATCAAAACATAAAGGACTGGAGAACGATCATCTTTTGGATAATAAGATACAAGCTTTTAGAAGCTTTTAAAATGTATTTTTATTGGTGCAAAACTAAAATTATTTGATTATTTTATTATGTAGACATGCCGGCCCTCCTATTTTTTTATGTGGTAATTTAGCCTCCAGGGCTCTGTCTAATCTAATTCTTTCCCTGCCAATTGACGATTTGATCGATTCTCTGTGCAATTGTGATCTGATTGTTTCTTTTAAATTCATGAATGTTTCTTTCTTCAACAAAGATAAAAGGAATAAGATTAATCTCATGCATTGTAGAGTTAATTAACATCTAAAAATGAGTAATATGATGCCGTTTAGCAAGACCTATACTAAAGAATTTTCATTTATTACTTCTTCAAAAAGTTAAATTAATTATGCTGTTTGCACTGTATGTTCAGCAGATATTTTGGTAAAACACAAAGGGTGAGGTGGTATTACTCAATGCATTGAGAGAGAAAAAACATCAGCAAGAAAACTCTCAAGATATCAAGAACTCTTGCTGAAAACTAAACACTTGACTTTTGTGCTATCCAGAATAAGTGTGTGTTTTTTTTTAATTCTAGTAAATAAAAGTATTTAATTTTCTGCAATTATACTATTTTTTTATATTAGAATTTAATGCTATAACACTAACATTTGTATAAAAATTATCAGATTTGCCACCAACTTGTCTAAATGGATCATGGTATATGACAATTTAGTCATTTAATTAAATTTGAGTCATAAAATTTTTGTTCTTATTTATTCAATTATTTTCATGCTTTAGGCTACTAAAGGCAACTATTTAAAAAAAATTCTGCGGCAACCCTGTTATCAAGGAGTAGGTTTCCTGGCAGCAGAATAACCAAGCAATACGGTTGTGCCAGGACTAGTACTTCTCCCATAATGTGGGGAAATGGCAAAGTCTAAATAAATTGCTATTGTCAAAATGCTGAGAAAGAACTAGTTTTCTCTTTTTACCCTGCCAGCTTGTACAGCTTCGCCATACAGTGTACAGTATTTTACCCAATCGTACGGGTGGTTGTTAAGATCGTACGTATTTATTTGCTTTTAAGTTTTTGACATGCTTATTTAAATCAAGATTTACAAAATTTTAAATGCCCGCTATGAAACACTTCTCTGAAAATAAGTCCGAGATAAATATAAATTGTAATAGGGTTGGTTTCGGGAGCCACCACATGAAGCACGAGCAATCTGTAACCAAAAAGAGTGGATATGCGCCTTGATGAAATTAGTCAGTCGGGCTGCTGATATATATGATCACACAGCTGGCAATATCGTTAGATGCTAACTTTTTTTTACACCACAGTCATTATTAAATTAATTAATAGGAATATTATGTAGATAAAAATTAATTTCTGGCAATTTTCTGAATAAAATATTATAAATTTAAGAATTGTTTAAGTTACTTAATAAGTAAACATTTACATAGTAAATCTTTTAATTCTATGTACTTATTTCTAATATAATGGTCTTTAACTATATTAGTTTTTGTTTGGGAGCGTTACACTAAATTCTTCACTCCCTTTCCCTCTTTTGGTGTCTCCTTTTTTTCTCTTGAGATTGGCATATATTGTAATCCTTGGCCGAGTAAAAGATTGAATTTTTTCCAGTTTTGCAAGATTTTAAGACCAGGTGTGTCTCTTACAAAATCCTAAGCAGAAGTTATTAATTTTATTTTTTGTCTTAGTTAAGGTACAGATGGTGCACCTCTAATCTAACAGGATTAAGTTGGTTTTTTAGTCAGTTTTTATGTAGACTATTTAATATTCTCGGGATTTGTTTGTTACGCTAGTGAGTAAAAGTGCTTCAGTTCTTGAATAACATTTAGGGGCATTAAAAATTCCATGTCAGTGTGGCTGTTTAGTGTAACTTTGACTCTTTTCTTAATGAATATTCAGTTTCAGTCAGCATTTTAAATTATTATATTACAATATTAGATTAACTATGTTAAGTTCTGCTATTTTGTCGATAAATTTGTAAGAAGATAGATGTCCTTGAATTGCTTGTAATTTCTTAGTCGATAATATTAATTATTGAATCTAGCATAATTGTCAACCATTATTTGTTAAGCTCTATCTATCTTTGTGTATATTTATGCTTGGTTTATAAATTTTTCGTGTGTTTGTTTAGCCACTATGTATTGTCATGAACTCACTGAAAAGAATTTTCCACATTATTTAAATTTTTAAGCTCTTTGAAGTATTGTAGGATTTAATCAACAAGTGTGATTTACTATTGTTAAATTTGCTACTTATAAATATTGACACTTATTTATTTATTTTAGGTTACAGTGCTTTCAGCTGTTGGTGAAGAAGCAATCGTAGCTTGTAAAAATGCAAGTTAAATGACTGCAATAATAATAAAAAAATATGAACTTGTTACTGGGGAGCATTTTTTCCTATGTGGCTTCTTCTGTGTTTTTAAGAATAAAGCATTCCCTGCAATTTTTACCACGCTTCTAAGCTACAACTGGAGAAATATATAAAATGTGTGTTAGTTGAAAATTCACTGCTTACCTCTTAATCAATCAAGATTTTCATAAGGTGTGAAATATTTTTGACACTCAAATTAAAAAATTTACTAAATTAAAGGCAATATGTAAAATTTGTGCTTTTCTGAAATGCTAACTTTATTCTTTGAAGAAAAACATATATTTAAATTAAGGTGCTAAATTCTAAAACTTTCGACCTAATTGTTTTTGTTGTCATTTCTTTCCATAAAAAATGTCTTCATCAGTAATAAACCAAATTGTGTTTTGTATTCAGTTTTCCTTATTGAGTTTTGTTTTTCTTGGAGTGAGTTTGCAGAGAAGTATATGCGATAGAAAGTTATTGTGGTAGTACAGGATTTATATGGGTTTCAATGTCAGTCCGTTTGAGATTTTTTATGTAGCCAGCATTTTGAGAGGAAATGTTTACTCTTAAGTAAAATATCTATGGTTTATTCCATGGTGCGTAGCGCTTTTAAAAAGTGCTTAGTTTTCCCTTTTCTAAAATGAGTTTTTTTTTTCTTTCTTTCTTTGCCATGTCGTTTTTCTCTGCCTATTATACAGAAGGGTGGTTTTTGCATTGTTCTTATTTTTCACAATCCATTTCAACGTGCTGTCAGTCCACAGCCTATGATAGTGTCAATCTTGTTACATATTTGATGAGATCCTTGGGGCTCTGCATGTGCGTCTACTGAGCTGGGCTCAGTGAGATTCTTGCACTTCGAAAATTCTTTGCATTATGTTAATGTATATAGTGCTTAAAAGATACTTTTATGTTTATTTTTTTTGTTGAGAAATTTGGCTACACACTGAATTTACTTTTGCAAATTATTTTTTATTTGTCAGTAAAAAGCTAATGAAATGTATAGCCAGGCTTATGATTTTCAGTATTTTTTAACTCTAATTTTGGAGGCAGGAGTTTAATTGCTACTGTTAGTTTTTCCCCCCTTGTGAAAACTTCAGTTTTTTATTGTTGTGAAATAGTGATTCTGTTTGATAATTACTTCAAAAAATTGAAATTGATAGCTATTTCAAAATAGATGTGCAACTGTTCCCTAACCCCCTGACTTCTGCTTATCTTGGTAAGCATTCTAATGTAGAACTTAGTTGATAATTCAGAAGTTGAAAAATTGTAGGGTTTTGCACTGGAAAACTGTCCAGATTTTCATAAAAAGAACGAGATTTCTTGCCAAATTAGTTCGGGGATTGGAAATCTTTTACTTATTTATTGGTTTTGGAAAACATAGTATCTTGTCTGGTGCTTGGAAGTAAAAAACAAATATCTCAACTATATCTTAAGAATTAGAATGTAAAAGCATTAAAGCTTAATTTGCCAGGATATATTAATACTTTTCTTACTTTCCCATGTTTAAATGATTTCCGACCCCTAATATAAAATAACTTTAGAGAAGGTCCTCTACTAAATAGTTAAATTAGTTTTTATTTGATTGTTCGATATCAAGTGGTCATTTTTCTTTTACATCTAACAGATAGATCTTGTCTAGTTGAAATATGCGATGACTTTAAAGCAATATGGCCTAAATAAAAAAGTAAAGCAGGCTTGTAAGAAATTAATATTGCTGTGTGGTGGTTAGAAAGTACGCAACTGAAACTAACTATAATGTACTTCTTAATTTCAATGGATTGGTTATAAGGACACGGTTCCCTGCAGATCGCCGGATCTGCAGAGGATACGTTATAAAGATCCAATATACTGATTCTTGTAAGAACTATGATTTTTTAAAAATTAATTCGAAAATTAGATTTTTTTTTTCTTTGCCATGTCGATTTTGGCCACGTATTGTGCAAAAGCGTGGTGTCAGTCCGTAGCGTATGAAAGCGCCTATCATTTTACGTGTTTGATGAAATACTTGCGGCCGCGTGAGCTGGGTTCGGTGAGATTCTTGCACTCTCATGTGCAACTCTGCTGCTGCATTTCGCGAAACATTCTCAGTTTCAGGCTTCATTTTCCTCCCTCTGAAAACCGAAACATCTCTCAATCTAATATAATCAATTAAAGAGTTCTTTATCAGAAACTAGTTATTTTATCACGATCATGTACTGTCTTAGAAAACTTTTGTATATTGTTAATGTATATAGTGCTTATTTTTTTGTTGAAGATTTGACTACGCACTCTACATAAAGATGTGATATTCATCATTAATAGAACATTCAATTATAAATTTTATTTTTAAAAAAATTATGTTAAATACGAAATATGCATGGTATATCATCCCTGCTATTAATGAGTTTGTTGCTATCTAAAAAGTAAGACATTGCTTCTTAGTTCAATAACTATATTTTTCTAGACAAGCTAGTGATGCATTGTTTCTGATTTATTTTTGTCACACTGAATTAAATTAATCCAAACTCGACGATCGGATTAGTACTTAAGAAATTATAAATATTTCATGTTTAGACCCATTAGTTTAAGCGAGAAAATTTGTTAATAGATGCAGGTACAAAACTTTTTTTGTACACAAAAACCCTTATAACTTCTAAATTATTTATCTTAATGATTCCTGTTAAATGTCATTCCATTCAGCATAAGTAACTAACACTGGTAAACCTAGCTCTTTCTCGATTCAGCGTGAAGAAATAAGTGATGTCAGATGCCTAAACAGAGAGTAGCCACCTTTTCCTGAGTATTCCCTTTTAGTATTAAAATTTTTTTATTTTGCTAATTTCGGGCGCTGAGGGCAATTAATTTTGTTTACGAATTATTACTGTTTTCGATTTTTTAAGAAATGTTTTTGTTTCTATTAACACCACTTGGATTTATTTTGAAACGATTAATGCTTTTCAGTATTATTCAATTCCGCTTGAACTATACATAGGTAACAATGAGTCAATTAACCTGGCTAAAAGAAATTCTATTCTTTCCCTGCCAGTCCCCATTTTTCGTGTGTGGTTGAAACATGAAGTTTTTTATGAAGAAAAAAAATTTTGAGTATTAATTTTTCAAAAAGTAATCACGGTGTGCGTTAAATGAAATGCTCTTACGACTAGAAAAGTAGAAGAGATTCTGAATTTACAATGTCCTTAGATAATAAAAATCGAAAAATTAAAATAATCTGTGGTGAGATTTTTAAAAAAATCCATTTTGAACATTATTGCTCACGAAGCACGACATTTCAAAAATGTTAGCATCATTTTATGTTTATAAATAGAAAAAATATATATTTGTATTAAATATTCATAATAACCGTTTATAATTATTAGAAGTTTATTAATTGTTAATTATAGTCGATGAACCTCTATTTAAAAAACAAAAATAATAAAAACTTAAATCGATTTTAGCGACACAAGCACTGTGAAATTAAAACTAACAAAACAAACCACGTTTAATTTTGTGTCGCAGAGCGAATTATCAATCAATTGTTTGATATCTAAAAAACTGTTAAAACGTGTGTTCAGTGAAAGATGTCTAAAGCTCTGACTCACGATCAAAATCGGGGTAAAGTATGTTTTCGAAAACAAATGCATATTATAGAGAATCAGTTCAAAATTGACATGAAAAATAACGTTGACAACTACGATGATGAGCGTAGATTGCCGGCGGCTGTGTGTTGTATACGTGCAAAAAAAAGTATTTAAAGCGAAGACTGAAGGAAAAAAAAAATTAGAATCTCCAGATTTGTCTATTTTAAAGCCTGGGCAGCGATCAAGATGCGATTGCAAAATTTGTGAAATTGCACACAAAATGCCGAAATACCCGCTAAAATTTGTGGCAAAGTTCCAAAAAATGTTTCTTTTGTTAGCTTGTTCTTAAATTACACATTTTATTGTTTTTATTTATTATTTTAGACCAGTCTAAACAACTGGCTGTGACAAAACGGTGCGACGTATACGTGTGCTTCAATGAGATTGGAAAAGGCAAACCACATAAATGTGGTTTGAAATCTGGAATAATAAATATTTCAAATTTTGTATCAGATGCACCTTTAAAAGCGGATGATCAAATTATGTCACGTGTGTTTAAAGGAAAACTAAAAGAAGATTCTAAGGGTGATCAGGAGCCTTCAGTTTTGCGGTTTCTATCAGAAGAAGATAATGAGGAAATTGAAGATTTACCTCCCAATGTAACAAATAAGCACTTTCTGCAGTGGACACTGTAAGGAGATTTATTGAGAGGCAGCCGAATCTGTCAGAGGAGACATTTAAAGCAGTGTTATGGACAAACTTTCTTACACATCTCTAAAGCGAACAACAATTGAATCTTTTTTTAAATGAAAGTGTAAAAAGTGTTTTTAGAATAAATAAGGTATGTAAGGAGCATTTTTCTTTATTCTACAATCGATAACATGTGATTTTTGATAATTCGAATTTTCGATATCTCGAATTTTTTCTCCTCTCCCTTCAAGTTCGAGATATCGAGGTTTGACTGTATCATTTTTTCCTTTCTATTGATATAAAACAACGCCAGATTTTCCAAAATATCATACTTCGTGCGCAAAAATGTTCCCACAGATTATTTTGATTTTTATTATCTGTTAACATTGTAAATTCAGAATATCTTCTAATTTTCTAGGTGTAAGAGCATTTTATTATTTTGGTTAAGGCACACCGTGTAATTTAATAGGGCTGGAATAATCTATTTACGAAGGCAAAACTCTTGCATTATCCATATTTACAATAGCTAACTAATTATTTAATTTGTGACCTTTCCAATTGTAAGATTGCACATCTAAGGAAAGAGGGTTTTATGATTTCCTTTTTGTTACTCAGAAGAGATGAGAGTTTTTATAAGATACTTGAATCCCTTTATTGTCATTTTTTGTAATGCGAAAAAATTTGAGAAAAGAAGTTAGAAAAAAAGAGAAACTCGGAAAGTTTTGAAGTTAAATTTGGGGTAAGGAAAAATTTAAAAAAAAAGAAAAATAATTATTTTATGAGTTTAAGATGTCAAAACGTTTAACCACCGAAGGAAAACTCAAAAACTTCCTTAAGAATATTTTTTAAAATTACATGAAATAAATTAAAATGTCAATTTAATTCAATGCAAAGTTATACAGGGTGTTTATAAAGTCCCGAACCCATTTTGATGTTTAATAACTCATAAAATAATAAAGATAGATTAAAATTAATAACATAAATGGTTAGATTGACTCAAAAACTTTCATGAACCTTGTCAATGAACTTCCACGTGTGCCCCCTTCGTCGCACGGAGAATATCAAGTCGATAGTCAATTTCACGCCAGGTAGCGGCAAGCATGTCGGCATCCACAGAGGTTATTGCGTTTGTAATTCTGTCTTTTAGGTCATCAATGATCGACACGATCCTCCTGTAAACATTGTCCTTTATAAATCTCCAAAGAAAAAAGTCCAGCGGAGTCATATCAGGTGATTTGGGTGGCCAAGGAATTGAACCTCCTCGCTCAATCCATCTTCCTGGAAAATGGTCATTCAAAGAACTACGAACGATGATACCCCAATGAGGTGGTGCACCATCTTGTTGCAAAAAGACATGTGGCTGAAGCTCTTCTAGTTGTGGAAATACGAAATTTTCCAACATGTCTAAGTATATGACTGATGAGATCGTCTTTTCTGTAAAAAAGAAAGCTACCTGGCGTGAAATTGACTATTGACTTGATGTTCTCCGTGTGACGCAGGGGGCACACGTGGAAGTTCATTGATGAAACTTTTTGAGTCTATCTAACCATTTATGTTATTAATTTTAATCTATCTTTATTATTTTATGAGTTATTAAGCATCAAAATGGGTTCGGGACTTTATAAACACCCTGTACTTTATATTTGAATAACATACGCGTCAAGTCTTGCTGTTATGTGACAAACCGAAATTTGCATACGCAAAACACGTCGTACTGTATCTCGCATTTATGCTAATTTTCTTATTTTCCTACCTTTAATTTTGCGATTGCTATCGTTGCTATATCATCGATTATCTTTATCAGTTGTCCAGCAGTGCATATTTCCTCGCGAAAAACTCGTTAATCAAGCTCTCGCTCGCATATGCGAATTCGCATGTGCAATTTTTTCCATGTCCAATGTGAATGCCTCTTAATATTTGAACTTCTGATTACACTGTTATCTATCTTCTATGGTTTACCTGATTTCAATAGAATTTAAAAAATGTAAACGAAGCTTATTTTTCTTTTTTGTAATTTTTTGTTACCAGATTTTCCTATGGTTAAAATACCTACCTATCTGATATGTACAGAACGTGTAACTTATCTTCACTTTTTAAATAAAGATGAAATTCTTTTGGTAAAATTGTTTTTACTCCGAAATTTTTTAAACTTTTTAAAGAGCTTGATAATATAAGAATAAAAATTAAAGAAATGAACTGGGCTACTCATATTGCAAGTTCGGATGGAAAAAAATTTAAAATCTAGTTCATTTGTTTCCAAGTCGAAGTCCTTCACTTGGAAACAAAAGGAAGGATCTCCCGATTCTATGGAATCAGACTTTACAACGATTGAGCTAAAAAGTTGGCAGGATAAAAAAAGGTAATCGATTGTACTGCAGTAATCTGTGACAGAAGGCCTTGGTTTTCCCTGGACTGCGGTACCAAGTATGACGATTTACCTATAATTTGATTGTTTTATGGAGATTTAATATAAATTTAATTTTTTTTAAACTTTATTATGTTTTTTTTTTAAACTCACAATGCTTATTAGTTCAAAAATATAATTATTATCATAATTTTAAAGGAAACATCACTAAGTGACATTAATTAAAATGATTTTTATTTTTATTCATATTCGAATCAATTGTTCTAAAACTGGAAAGATATGCTCATAAACAGGAAATATTTGATACTTGGTACGCCATTGGATTTTAAAATGCAAATTGAATCAGATTTTTTAAACTTTAATTTTTTTTAAACGATTTTTGAACTCAACTTTACAAATTGTCATTCGAAGTGGTTCAAAGCTTAATTAACTTACTAGATTTTAAACATTTCAATCATGAGCAATCTTTTAGTTTAATTCGTTTAAACTTTATTAAAAATAATTAATAAAGAGGCGTGAAATGAAAATTAAAGTAATAATAGATATCCTGGGTAATTTTTGGATAAATCGGGTTAAAAATTGAAGGAGTATAAGAAAGCAGTAATTAAAATCAGTCGAGAAAAATCTCTAGTTTATCAGACTTACATTAAGTAGTTATGATAAGTAAATATTATAACAACGATTTTTTTGTGTGACAAATTACTGGTATTCCCTCTTAAATCACATATCTGATTCTTATAACAAGAAACCACAAAATGAAATAATAAGTACACGAATATTCCTAACAAAATTTTGACACTTATTTTTCAATTGTTCCATGTTGATAAGAAGAGCATGGTGAATAGCATTTTTAAAGTTCTTAAAAGTGATTATTTTTTAATTTTTGTTTTTTAAAAGCCCTTAAAGGTGCTATTTTCATAGGGTGTTTTTAAAAAGTGCTTAATTTTCCCATTTCGAAAATAAGAATATTTTTCTTAACCATGTCAATTTTCGTCACGTATTATGCAGAAGCGTGCTTATCACATTTTTCTATTTAACGTTTTCACAATTCTTTCAACCACAATCTGTTTCAGCGTACCGTCAGTCCGCAGCGTATGAAAGCGCCCATCATTTTACAGGTTTGATGAAATACTTCCGAGTCCGCATGTGCGTACAGTGAACTGGGTTCGGTGAGATTATTGTAGTCTCACGTGCGATTCTGCTGCATTTTGCAAGATATTCTCAATTTCAAGCTTCATTCTTCACCCTCTGAAATCGAATCGAAAAAATCTCTTGATCATTTTGTAATGGCTAATATAATCAAGAAAAGAGGTCTTTGTCAAAAACTAGTTATTTTATCATGATCATGCGAAGTCTTTGAAAATTATTTTGCATTTTGTTAATGTATATAGTGCTTACAAATTATTTTTGAGTGCTTAAAAAGTACTTAAACGGTGCTTATTTTTTTTTGCTGAAAGATTTGGCTACGCACTCTGAACGAAGGAATTAGCCAATAAATGGGTCTGAATAATCTTTTTATTATTTATCTCGTTATGTTAGAAAAAAAAGAAGTTATTGCCTTCATTGTCATCACCGTTAGAAAAGTTTCGTTGCAGCCTCGCATTGACACGATAAATGAATATCCGAAATAGTTATTTCGTACCCAAAAATTTTCAAAAAATCAGTCTAAATTTAAAGAGAAAGGTGAAGATTTATTTCAGCATAAATAATTTTTGCAAACATCTTTTGACCTTGAAAGGTGTGACAGGGGTGGCGGTCATCACCTTCGCTCACCTTTTCTACTGGGTCCATATTATTGATTTTCATTTCTTTAGTCACTTAATTTAGTTCAAAGAAAATTATTTGCAAGTGAAAGATTTTTTTTCCAGCCTTCTTTAGTATTCTTTTGTCTGAAGATGAGTAAGACTGGAGTATAGGGCCCAGAAGAGAGGCACACTTTAAATATCAGGTCCGTTTTTTAACAAGCGAAATATTTTACGCTTCATTTCTTAAACTTTCTGTCCTATTTGAGCTTGTAAATTTCTGGGAACCAAATTTTTTGTTGCATTTATACAAATACGGTATTTTACTTAATTTTATCTAATTCGAAAGTGGAAATTTCACATCGGAAATTAGCTTAAATCAGAAAGCCACAGATTTTTCTTCATAGTGATATTTTTACAAACATATTAAGCAATTTAAGAGAAAAAAGAGTCATTAAAATTTTGAAACAATCAGATAGAATTATTAGTAGTGATGGTTACCGGATGCATGTATATGTAAACTTTTAATCAGTCATTTCCCTGACACTTGATCTTGATGTATGCATGCATACATTATACTTAACAATCTTAACATATATACTTGATGGATACTCGATACATAACAAATTAGGGGACTGATTTTTATTAATTTCCCCCAGAGAGTTGAAGAAACTTGTCTTTCAGAGAACCATGTTTGATTTTGTTTTTGGCGCAAATTTTAAAGCAATCCAAAATAGCAAATTTTCTTCTTTCCAGAAAATGCCATAAAAATGTGAGAAGAGTTAAAAGGTTGTGTGGAGATTTAATTTTAGACTATGTCAACCTTTATCTATCAAAAGGTCCCTCATGATAGAGTCAAGTTAACATGTCTTATATACTAGTGAATTTGTATTTTTAATATTTATAGTGGTTACGCCACATTACCCCCCTTCCAGAATTTTATCTGTGATAGAATTCGATGAATGAATACCACTAGTTGATTCATTTTGTTTGTTTATTTATTTCAATTTTTGCTCATTATATATATTTTTTTCTTCCTAGCATTTCGCTCATTTTTTTAATAGCTTTTCATAATTTTTTTTTAATAATTTTTTTCCTTTTTTTTAATAGCTTTTCCGCCATTTTTTTAAAAATGTTTATAGCATTTTGCTCATTATTTTTTCTTTCTTCATCATTGTTTTTTGACCGGGAGACTTTATTTACTTCACCAGATTTTTTTTTCTTTGAGCAGTATATTTTTAAGCAAATCAACTGTTTAATGTGGAACGACCATCGATCAAAATAGTTTGACATAAAGCGGCATCGAAAGACTTTATAAAATACGATATATTCTGAAAACTGGAATTCATTTTTATATGTGCCAAGAATTTAGCGCCAAGGTTATGCCAGGAGCAAGTCCCTCTTGCCACTGATGCTATGTCACTGATTAAAGGTTTCATAAGAGCAGAATGGTATTAGTACAGTTTTTATTTTAAATAAATGGGAGTGGTTGAGAGATGTTCTGATAAATAAAATAAAGTAAGCTATTACAGGTTATTAGTCAACAACACTTCCAAGGTCCTTCCCACAGAATTGAAGTTAAACTTTAAAAAATTTCATTAGATCAATGAAAGAAGGAAGTGAGCTCAGTGAAATTCGTTATATCAAATATATTATAATTTTTAATACATTTTGTAGACACATGTCATATAATGTATACATATCCAAACATTGAGGTGGATGTGGTTTTTCTTTTATGGATGATACGTCATGTGAGTGGGAAATTCTGTTGTTGCAAAAGGTAACATAGTCTAATTAACTAAACTTAAATTATTACAATGAACCTAAAATCATACTTTAGAAAAAAATACTTCCATTTTTTTTTTTTTTTTTGGTGGTGGGTGGTAAAGTTAGTTAAATTATTCCTCATAGATGGCGCTTACCGGCAGCTATTTGGGTTCGAGTTTTTTAATGTCCCGAAATGTTTATGTTTGTGTTGGGTTGGTGTGTGTTTACTATTCGTCCCGCGAATGATTAAGCTTCACGGCTATCAGTAGTTTAATAATTTTAATGATTAATGCTTGAAAACTTTATGTCACGAAATATATTTATGCAAACTTAGCTAAAGAACAGCTAAGGGATGTCTCCCTTCTTGAAATCTTCTTTCGAACATTATTCGATCATTTTTTTAGTATGGTTTACTTGTAGTGCAGTGTTTCAAGTATTACCAAATGTGGAAGGTATTTTAATTGTTTTATCTAAGTACTTTTCTCAGAAACATTGCAATTATGCAATAATTACGAAATATAATTCTATTTATAAATGCCTATTTCACTTTTGAATATGAATTATGAAAATAAATGATTTTGCTCTTCAAATGAACTTACTATCTACTGTAATTTGAAGTTATAATTTTTATTCAAGGCAATATTTTTAAAAATTTTATATAAACTTTTTATGTCCTTTTTCTCTTTATTAAAGTAAAAAAAATTATATCTAGACAGNATTTTGCTCTTCAAATGAACTTACTATCTACTGTAATTTGAAGTTATAATTTTTATTCAAGGCAATATTTTTAAAAATTTTATAGCAACTTTTTATGTCTTTTTTCTCTTTATTAAAGTAAAAAAAATTATATCTAGACAGTTAGAATTCTTTGTCAATAAATACTGTAAGAGTCTAATAATCCTTTTTTAATTTGCAAAGCACGTATTAATTTAAAGCGACGTTCATTTAATAATTACCCGCTTTTTATGTATATATTAAAGGTTTATAAGAAGTAAATTGAAAATTCCTATTTTTCCTCTTAATATTTCTTATATTTGACAAATATTTAAAGAAAAATATAATAACATTAAAAAAACTAACAATTAAGTTAAACAAGTTAAGGAGTTATTAATATTTCACATTTTCGTTAAATATTTGTTCCGAAAGAGTGCGACTTGAACTTGAAGATATTGAAATGTTTTTATGTTAAGTTTTTTTATTTTATGAAAACATGTTAAAGATTAAGAAAAGTTATAACAAATATTGTTTTGTTAAATCAGGGGGTATAAAATATTCATAAATAATTTGGATTTTAACATAGCAATTGCATTTGTTTGAAAAAAAAAGTGCTAGAAATTATTGTTTTTTTTCTTCATATAAATAAATTTTAAAATAGTTGAGAAGTTGAACATAATGTGAGAAAGTATATCAAAAAGCTTTAAGGTGTTACTTTTATTTCATTTAGATATTTTTTTAAAAATCATTTTTATTAGCATTAAAAATTTTCTTATGGGTGATTGTATTTTAGTTATTTGTTATTTGAAGTTTTTGACTCTACTGATATAAAACATCATTGTATCATGATGTCCCCTATTTATTTAAATACATTTTTTAAATATAATGATAAATCACTGTTAAAGAAGACAGATGAAAAATGCCAAAACAAGTTTGATTGTATGCTGAAGTATGAAAATGTTTAATAAAAATGTGCCTTTTAGCTCTTCTCTCTTTTCCTTTAGCAATCAATTAAACTTTGAAGTTTTTCACCTTGCCTTCCTCAATAGTGATTCATCAGGTTATGATAAAGATCAGGTTATGATCTGAATTTTTCTCTGTGTAAAGACTAGTTTGCAATCCTTAATTTTATGTGTATTCTTACTCGATTTCTGACGAATATTTTGTGAATATATTTATCAAGAGCAAAGTTTATGTTTTGGATATGATAATTAAAACAATTATAATAGTGAATTAAAAGTTTTAAACTCGCATATTAAATAAAAAATAAGTAATTTGTTGGGGCCCATTAAAATTTAACTCTTGTTTCTAGCTAAAAAATTATGGTCCTCCCCAGAAGTATATATGTATACATAATTTTTTTTTTTTAACAAAACTTTAAATATGTAAATTTCAAGAAGTTTAAATTGAATGTGGCATTAAATTGTACAATTTGTTAATTGTGTAATTTGTTAATCTATGGTGATTAAATATGCGTTTAATTATTTATAGGTAAAACTAAGGTATCAGGAGCTATTATTAATTTATTGTGTGAACTTTAGCTTTTTTGCTTCTTGATGGAGGTTTATATACTTCATAAAACTTTGATAAAACTTCATAAAATCACAAAACTTCAAATAATGAGACATTTAGCTTCAAGTTTGAAATACTTGGTTAAGGACAATCATCAAATTGTTTAGTAAATGCTAAATAATTAAGTATTTAGCCATTTATATAGTTATTTTTTTTCTGTTCATCATATATCATCAGGTAAATCTCATTTATCTAAGGAGGATTGGATTTTATGGAATCACTGTTAACTAAAATTTAGTGTTTCCTGGTAACTAAGAATCAAGTTAACTTTGATGAACTCTGATAAATGAATTTTTTATTTATTTTTTAGGTGCAGATTCTTGCAATGTGGGGCATTTCAGATGTGTTAAAAGCAACACATGCATTCCATTAGGATGGCTTTGTGATGGAGAAAATGATTGTGCTTCTTCTAAAATAAATGACACATCTGATGAAGACCCTTTAAGATGTTAGTTTCAAATTTAAATTTTATATTTTCCTCTTATCATTTATAGTTATGTATAGAAATTTATGGCAATGTCTATAAAAATAAGTGATTATTTTTGAAAAAGTTACTGATATAAGGAAGAAATCTATCTAATCTTTAATTTATTTATAATGTTAGTATGATGATATTTCAGATATAAAGAATATGTAAAAACTCAAATAACTTCTTTAAATATTGCAAGAATAACTGAATTTATTTATGAAACTGTTTTACTTGAAATTAATTAACCTTTTATTTTTCAACTGTAGGTCGTAAGGAACATGTATGTTTAAAGAATTTCTTTAGATGTAACGATGGTATTACCTGTCGTAAAATTTCCAAACTCTGTGATGGCAACAATGACTGTCCAGATTTTTCAGACGAAGGATCGTTTTGTAGTGAGTTCTATTACTATTTTTTAAGCTTAATTTATAATTATATATTTTTGAAATAGTTTATAATTATTTATTAATATTAATCATATGTTATTTACATGGATGAGTTTTTCCACTTTTAAGCAGAATCTTGCTTTTTTTTCAGTTTAATAAAAAGAAACTTAAATTTTTGCTTTTTTAAGTTCTACCTTCCCTATCCCCTAAAAAGAAAAAGAGTCCTTATTCTTCTATGTAAACATGATTTTAAATTCACGCAACATATCACCATTCGTATTCACGCAATTTAAAAATGCACATTACCATTCCTATTCACTAGATTTGAAATTACTCATCGTGATACCTATTTATGTGATTTAAAAATCTCACATCCTGATTCGTATTCTCACAATTTAAAAAAAAAATGTGCATAGCTCTCAAAAATTGCGCATGGTTCATGTTTCGAATTCTATTTAAAATTACATATCGCAATATTTATGCACGTGGTTTAAAAATTACTGATTGTGCTCTGTTCTCATGAGATTTAAAGTTATACATCGCCATTCATATTCACGTAATTCAAAAACCTCACATTGGGATTCATATTCACGCAATTTAAAAATCGCACACTGAGATTTATATTCTCGCGATTTTAAAAAAAATAAATTGTGCATCGATATATTTTATTAAAATATCGATAATACTCTGCGGATATATTCTTCATAATATCCTTCCTTCTTGCACTTTTTTCTTGTGCAAATTTCAGGTATTTTTATAATTTTTCAAAATTGTGTTCTTTACATAACATATTTTTCTATAATATTTGACTTTTTAGAAATTGAACATATCTGTTTATAGATTAATTGTTGATGCTGTGTGAATGAATATATTGAATGATGTGTGTTACATTCTATCTCAAGGTTGAGTGATTTAAATTAACTGATTAAAAATTGTATAATTAAAATAAAATTTGTGAGATAATAGATAGAGTAATCAGATAAAATTTTTTTTTCCCCATAAGTAATAAAATTCAAAACTTCAAACAAATTTTTGTACATACTGATTGCTAATACATTGACTATTAGTGGTGCTCTTTTTTTTCTTCAAGAAATGCAAAGATAGATGATAAAACTTTAAATGATAAGCATTATATGCCCTTCAACAATCTACCTGAATGCATATGTACAAAAGATCCTTTTCTTTGTCAGTACAATATGAAAATTTTATGTAAAATTATGAATTTAGTAGCATGTGTTATTGTATGATATTTTCTGAATAAATGTTTTTTTGAGCTTGATTTATATAATTTTTTAATTAAATTTGTGCAGAGAGAGTATAAAAACAGTAAGTTAATTTTGTCCATACTGCTACAAATGAGGCAGTTAATTTATTATGTAAATTCAGATGTGTTTAATATATGTTTCCTTAAAATTGATGTAGATTTAAAAACTTTAAAACCTTCACTGCTTGATATTTTTACTCAATATTTACGTTAGAAAAATTAAAAAAAAAAAAAAAAAAAAACTTCCATAATAAAATTAAAAAAATTTCTTTTACTTAAAATATTCTCCTTCTTAGAACATTACTTTTTAGTCTTCCTGTTTCACATATTGTTGCCTTCCTGTTTTACATTTTACATCTATTTTGATTGATAGTCTCTTCAAGCAATTTCCTGATTAGCTATTTTTATATCAAGTAGTCTTCAGATTATTTATTTTTAGCTTTATCAAACTGTTTCAAGTTTATGCTTATTATATTACATTATATTAATATTTGCATAATCAGGTCACTAGGAACTTTTTCTATGATCTATTATGCATGAAGTTTTGATGATGATCTATTATTGAAATTTTACTATTATATATCATTACATTTGCTATCAATTTTTATTTTTTTTTATTAAAAATTTATTTTACTCATTTGTTAATGAGACTTTTCACTTTTGCTAATTTATTATTATGTGTCGTCATCATACTGTTGTACCTCACAATATTTACAATAAAATTTTATATATTTATTGTTATTTCTAGAAGAAGTTGATTGTTTTAAAATGAAAGAAACAAGTGAAAATTAATAAATAATTGATTAACCGTAACTTAAGTAAAATTAAGGATTGTTAAAGAATTAGCTTTATATCTATCTTGTTAACTCTTAAGTTTTATATAATTAAGTTGCAAAGGTATGTTCTGCATACTCTTAACTATTCATAAGATTGAACCTTATGGTTATTTGCCATTATTATGTTTTTATGCAGATATAAATTGTCATGTATTTTTTTAAGAACCTATTAAACATTAAAGAAACATTTTTTCTCAGGTTACAGTTTAAATAATAACTAAGTCTTTTTACATTTTATATTTAGTTTTATCGAATTTTCTAAGATAATGCTACTAAATTCATTGTAAATTCCCATCTAGACCTTTTTTAAAAAAATAATTAAAATATAATCCTTATTAAATTTAGAAAATAAAAGTATCTGCATTGGGACAAACTGTACATATGGTTGCAAGCCAAGCCCGAAAGGACCACTATGTTTTTGTGGTGATGGCAAGGAACCAAATGGAAATGATTGCATAAGTAAGAATATGTTTTTGAATCACTTAATCCAAAATATATCATAATGTCAAAAAAGTATGATTTTGAATTCTGTGTTGTTAATAATAATTAGTTACAAAACCTTTTTGTTAGATAAATTTCTTTAAATTTTGTTTTTCATATGCATACTTAATTATTAATTTTGCTTCATTTAACATTCATTTTATTTTATACTTTATTGACCCTCTGAGCATTACTCGTTGTGTTTTCTAAATTTTATACAAATAGTTTTCTTATGTAAAAAAATAATAATGAAATTATCTATTATTAATTATTCTAAAAAATAATCCGAAATATTATCCATTAAACATAAAATTAAATTATGCTAGAATGAATATTATGTATTATAAAATTAAAAGGTTTAATATAATTTTATTCATATATCATAATTATTGTTTAAAGTATTAAATTAATATATTAAATATAAGGTATGTGTATATTTGAAGCTGTTTTTGTAATCATAATTTTATAATTAAAATAAATGTTCATTGAAATTAAATATATTTGCCTATAAATAAATTATTAAGTAATGGTTCTAGAAAGATGCGTTTTAATGCTTTTCTATATACATAGTTATGAAATAAGTTATGTTGAAAACTAATTACTGGCATTTTTTTAGGTATTCAAGATTCAAAATGTGAAAATGATGCATTGTGTGATCAAATTTGTAGCAGGAAAGACAGTGAATATGAATGCAGCTGTGTTGATGGTTATAAAGCAAAAGGGCGAAAATGTATTGCTATAAATGGTAAATGCATATAGATATCTTTTCTTCATGTTAATTAATAAATCATTTGTTTTTTAATGATTGTTCTTTCAAAGTTTTGTTATGTTAATATATTCATAGAAAGTAGGGTTATCTTTGTAAGAGTTCAACAGCTCAAAAAACAAATTATAAATATAGAGAATGAAGCATTCATTAACTTTTAAAAATATAGAGAAAACATGGAAAATAATAAAGATTAATGAAAAGAAAAGAAGATTAATTAATGAAATAAAATATTTTTTAAAAAAATATTAAAAAGCCGGAAAATAAAATTTGTTTTTCAACTTTTTTGAATCCATATTTTGTTTCCTGGCTTTTTAGTATTTTTCTAATGAATTTTTTTTAAAAATATTTTAAAAATATTACCTCGTGTTTAGTAAATAATTCTATGATTTAATTTATTTTATGTTAATTTATTTTATGAATTCTATATACTTGCAGCTTATGCACATAAAGTGTCTTAACTTTACTATCTCTGAAGAAAGCCAAAGTTGATAAATTGTTGACTTTTTATTCTGATGTTTTTAAATGATTTTTTTGAATAATTTAAAAAAAAAATATTTTAAAAATAGTATTTTATTTTAATTTTTTTTCCATTAATCTTCATTATTTTCCATATTTTCTCTCTATTTCTAGCTTATTTAGGAGTTCTATATATTTGCAGCTTATGCATATAAAGTGCATTAACTTTACTATCTAAAGCAGTGGTTACCAACTGGTGGCCCGTGGGCCACATATGGCCTGCGGAACATTTTTTTTGTGGCCCCCCGAACTGAAATATATTAACTGTCATTTTTTGCGGACAATTTTAGTAAAAAATCTATATGGGTTTAAAACTTTTCTTTCGTTTAAAAAAACTAATTTCTTCGATTCTGTGAAATTTAACATAACTGTGCAAAAAATTTTTTTTCTCAGGTTTTGCATCCAAAAAAATATTTATTCAAAAATCAATATTTATTATTATTCGTAATTCAATACTTTTGTTTTGAACAACTTGATAAAAATCTGACAGTAATATTTAATGTTTCTTCAAACATAAAAGAGTCCTATATAAAATTTTGACAAAATTGCGGCCCGCCATTTGACTGGTGTTTTTAACTGTGGCTCTCTGCCTCTTTCTTTCGATATCTTGAACTTCTATATCTCAAAAACCTTGTTATGTCAAATATATTTATATGTATATTTTCCCCCTTGGCATTACATATCGACTTAATGTTAATTTGAATTTCTATGTTAAAGAATTTCTTCTCAAAACCTTGTTATATTGAATATTTTTTGAAATAGAAAATGAATTACTACGTAAGTTTACTGTAAACCAATTCCATTCTATTTAATGCATATTTATTTTTGTTTTACTTTTAAAAATAAAATTATTGCTTTATTTATTTACATATAGTCAACTATCATTACACTCATAATTATTAGTAGTTATTCTTATGTTTCATGACTGTACTTTTTAGAGTACTATTTTAGAATATATTTAGTACATAGAACTCTGAACTTGCTATCTCAATATTTATTTAGCTTTGAGAGTACACTGTATATTAACAAAGTACATATTTTGTGTATAATATTAAATTTTATTCTGTCATGTAAAAGTGCACATTTTCTTTTGTTTACTTTTTAGTTCCAGCCAAGACACCCATGTCAATTGTCTTTACCAATTCAGCTAATCTACAGCACATTTATCTAAATGGCTCTCTTATTCGCAGTAGCAGTATTGTGAAGGTTGCTGAAAAATCTGCAGTTGACTTTGACCACCGAAATGAGACTGTGTGCTGGGTATTGAACTTTATATTATTAGAATGTAATATATATAATTTTTTCTTTAAAAAAATTTCTTTTTTGAGTATTAGTTGCTGTTTTCATTAGCCAAATTCATTTATTTAACTTTTAAGAATTTTACAGTCCAGCTATTTAGAATTCAACTAACCGTAATTTTTGGAAATGTATTATTTTGTTCTCTTCTAAAGATGAATTAGAACATTTAAACACCAAGTATACAGTTAAACACCAATCAATTCTCAATAATCCTTTAATTACACTCAATTATAAACAGGAATTTAGCTATGAAAAAGCAGTACTGCTCATTTTATTTTTAATATTTTATTCTTGTTTAATAATTTCTGTAAACAACTTTTATAGTGTTTTTTTCTTTTATCAATATTTTGTTATTAGTTTCAATAGCAATAATGTATTCTGTTTTCATTTAAGTGGTTCCTTTTTTTTATTTATAGAAAATAAGGTAATATTGAAAATCAAGAATATTACTGGTTCTCAATATCTGGAATTTTCAGATTCCTGCACGTTCCACACAATTGAGTTTTTACTATAAATATGTTTAATGTTCGTATTTACTTTATTTTACTATCTTTGAATTGAACCCAGAACTTTTCATACTCTTTTGAGGCTTCTTAACCAAGAAACATGTTTTTTCTTCTTATTATACCCAATGAGATAGTCGTGTGTTAGAAGAAAAGTACCGTACCTGTATAATCTAGGAGTTTAACATTTGAAGAGTTCAAATTTTTATTTATATGGTAGAGAAATTTTAGTTTTACTTCCAAGTATAGCATAGTAATCTACATTTTGACTTCAATGAAATCACATTTTAAGTAAAAATACTATTAAAATTGCTATTTGTTATTTTCTGACAGAGGATAATGCAAGTTTTTTAAATTAATTTTTGGATTAATTCATTAATTCCTTGCAAAAATAATATTAAAATTTAAAATGAATAGAAAAAGTTACAAGAGTTAGTTTTTTGATTAATTACTGTTTGTTGTTTTGACAAAACATGCCATAAAATTTTCCTTCTAGTATTCTGATGCTAATAATATATGTGTATATGTTTAAAGGAATTAATCATATTTTTAATAAAAATTTTAAAATTTGTTAAAACTAATTATTATCCTATATTTTTTAATTATTAAGTTTTTTTGCTCAAAATATTTAGACTTTTTACATTTTTGTTTCAGTTTCAATTCTTAAGGTCTATTATTTTTAAACTTTAAATTTACCTCTGTGTAAATAAAGAAAAATATAACTTGTTTTGATTTTATTTAGGTTGTAAAATCTAGATTTAGTTCTGGTCTTGAGTGTTGCAATGCCTATAATTTTTCCAGCTGTTGGGAATATAAGCTGCCAGATTTGTACTCTCAGTCAAGTGAGTGTCTTTTGCCCGTTGTTCAAATATTTTTCTGTGCGTACATTTTTGTATTATTATTTCCTTTTAAATGCAAAGTTGTTATTCAGTTCATTCTTTTTATTTAATAAAAAAGTGCATAATTATTAAAAATAATTTTAATATTAATGCATTATTTTTTAATTGCATAAAAATGGTATCATAGTAAGGTAGCTAAAGTAGGTCATGCTCCTAATTTAAAAATATTCTGTATGTCTGTTGCAGATTTGTAATAACATTTACAGAAGAATGTTGACATTCTTTTATTTTAAGTCTTCCTCAGTGACTTGTTTTTAATTCTGTTAATTTAGTCTCTTTTTTATTTTTATTTTGTATGCAAACAGACATTTCAAAATATATATATTTTCCATAAATTTAATGTCATTTGTTGACTTTAAGAAACATTCTGAATCAGATTTTTTTTAATAGCTATTAGTCAAATTTCGTATGAATGGGTGTCTGGGAATTGGTATATATTAGACGAAGTGCGTGAGATGGTAATTGTCTGTAACCACACGCTCTCTGTTTGTACTACCTTGCTAGATATATCTTTGAGTAAAGCTAAGGACATTGCTCTAGATCCAACTAAAGGGTAAGTAAAATGATTATATTTACTTAATTGCATCGTATTAAATATTTTTTCTTTTGCTCATCGTATTAAATATTTTTGCTAAGTTCACTCATACATTAATGCACAAAAATTTCATTATGATTGCCTAAAAATTTATAGATATGTATATTTTATACTGATTATTACTTAATATTAATTCTTAACGTGAATTTAAATTTTGAAATTGTTTGATTTTCTGCCACTAGAACTGGCTGCATCCCATGTTAACAAAAAAATGGTATACCACAAAAATAAATTTCTAGACAAATTATAGATATTCATAATGCTTGTAATGTTATAAAAATTATTGTTGTGTCTATATAGAAAAATTTAAGGAGAGAAGTAGTTCACAGTTATCTATTTCTTATTGTTTTCCTTTCAATGATTTGTGAATTTGTATAACCCATTTTAAATACTTCTAAATAGGTTTAAAAAATATTTTTTGAAAAGTTAACTTTGATTAATTCATATTCTTTAGAAAGAATTAATTGTTATCAACTTCTTTAATGCTATATTAAACAAAAATTCTTGCATTCTTTTAATTTTATATTTTAATCATACATAACTGGATTTATTTTGGCAAATTTTATGTGTTGAAAGCTCACTGACTTTAACCATTGGAGCCTCGATGGCACAGCGGTTGATGAGTGAGCATTGGCATTTTAAAGTACCAAGTTGTTATCCTTAGCAGAAGATAAGAGCCCTATCAGCTTGTCTGGGAAATAAGGCCATGGCCATGTCACAATACTGCCCACATTACCACCATCATGTCATTGGTCTCAGAATTATAAAGTCTTAACCTCCATGGCTGACAGTCTGGCTATTGTCAGAGAACATTTAGCGTATATTTATTATATTATTTGCTTGCATTATCTGTAAAATTCCTAGTATTAAGTATGAATTTAGTGCATATTTAATCGTATAAAACTAATTAATGTTATGTATTTTGCATAGATTAATGTTTTACACTATTTGGGATCAATCTGGGTCATCAGCTCTAGAACGAGCTAATCTAGATGGATCTGAAAGAATCAAACTTGTAATTGAAAAAATTGTTGGGCCTAGTGGTATAACTGTGGATATTCCTACTCAATCTGTTTACTGGATCGACACGTATTTGGGAACGATTGAAAGAATCGGTTACACCGGATCTGGAAGAAAAACAATTGTTAGAAGCACTCAGGTACGAAACTTTCAGTTTGATCAGTTAATATTTGTTATAAAAGTCTGTTGCTATTGATTGATTAAAAACATCAGTAGAAATTCATGTGTTATAAATACTTGACCTTATGTTTTATTTCTTTTCAGGTTAAAAGTTTGCACGGAATATCTATTTTCGAGGATTATCTTTATGTTACCAATGTTGAGGGAAACAACATATTAGCTTTTCAAAAGAATAATCAGACATCGCCCACATCTATAAAATCTATTATAACTCAACCATATCACATTAGGATATATCATAGACAGCGACAACCAGAAGGTACGGTGAATTTATTTTCATGTGTTTTATATTTTATTTCAAGGTCGAGAAGAATAAAATCCAAAGCACCTTAAATATCTTTTGATCTGATGATCAGATTTTCATAGCTTAAAATTTGGGAGTTCGCTTGAAATCAAAGTAACAAAAACTTATTTTTGTTGAAAGAGTCTGTAATCTACAGGGATGAGATTCTTCTGCGGATTTCCGCTTTTTCTCAGATTTTTCCATTTTTCCCGCTAATTTCCGCGAAAAAATTTTTTTTGCACAAGTTAAAGTATTTTATGAGGAATTTAATTTTCCGCGGAGCGAAATTATTGAAGTCCTTATTCCTCCCTCTGAAGTTTCTCTAAAAATCATTTCCTTGGGATAAAACTGGTGTACAGGGATGAGATTTTTTTCGCTTTTTTCTCTCGAATTTCAGCCTTTTTATCAAAAACTCAGATTCTCTAAAAGTTTCGTTTTTTTTATTTATTTATTTATAAATATCCCGTTTTTTTTTTTAAATTCAGTCGTTGAAGTCAAATTAATATATTTATTTACGATTTTCAAAGAAAAACAGAAAATTCAAACTACGTCCTA